GGACCATATGTTCATAGATCCAGCGTTTTTATCAAAATAATGGTTATTCATTTAGAACAGGCTTTTGTTTCATTATCGCCTCTCCTTAGCTTCGCACATGTACTTAAGTACTACTTTATATTATTAATAAAACATCACTACACTATAATCTAAATACAATAACGTAATCAGAGATAACAACGTATTAATGGTTGCATGATTTTTTCCATATAAATTAATTTAATTGATGAAACAATATATAATAAATTAAGCTATAATTTGCATATTTTACATATCACATAAAATGTATAACACATTTAGTAATTTGTGTAAATACACAAATAACTAATTATCTATATCATTATGATGTTAAGCTTTAAAATATGAAATACGTATACATTTATTTATTAAGTAATTTTGGAATCATGTTGTGAAATATTTAAAGCAACCAAAATTATCTGAAGAGGTTTAATTATTAACCATCAATTATATTTTTAAATGTTTTAATATTTTAAATTAAAATATCAAACTTATAAATTTGGAATGGGCTTTAGTGAAGAATATTTGTTATTTAGTAATGCCGATGTTTCGACGTTTTTTTTTTTGTTATCTTATTCAGGGCATATGAGTTTTTAACTATATCTAGTATAGTATTATACACGTATATTATCGATATATAAGCAATAATTTTTAATAAGACAATATAATGCAAAATATTCACAAAGAGAGAGAAAATATTCAACGATAAGTGTAAGCAATCAACTATTTACTTAAATAATTTTAAATTGATTTTTGTTAATTTACAAATTTCTGTAATAAATAATATATATTGAATGAATATTTCCTATTACAAAATAAAACCAATTCATTAATATAATACATAACATTGAATTTTTATAGATTGTGTTATATACACATAATAGAACTATAAATATTATATATATTAACTAAATAATTACAATTATCTTATACTTGTTCATACACACCTTAATTTCGCACAAATCTTAATTACATCTTCGTTTCAGCGAAATTAAGTTGTTTTTTCAATACAAAATTCAGTTTTAAGGTTAGAACGAAATTAAGTAAAATAGCCTTAATTTCGTTGAAATGAAGGATGAAATTAAGAGACATTTCATATGCAACTATGCGTAAGATGAATTTTTAGCTAAAAATAAAGTCGAGATAACGAAAAAGTGACATTTTTTTAAATGTATGTCAGTAACAATAGACTTTAATAAAACTGGGAAAATATTTTGAAATTTTCAAATTTGAATATAGTGAAAAATATTTACAACAGATATTTAAAAGTGTCTTAATTGATAATAAAGTGGTAATACAGAAGTACCACATATCTTTTGAACATGCTAAATTTATCTATAACATTATTATGATTGTAAAGTGTTAGTCTTTCTCCAGTGTTAATCTTTTGCTAAATACCCTTACTTTATCTATTACATGGACATTGTTAAAGTCTAGAGTATGTATATTGCTCATAATGCATTGTGCTAGTGCTCTAGTTTATAGTTTCGACTTTGACATCATTTTTCATTAATCCTGGTTCCTAATGTCCGTTTCATTGTACCGATGTAGATTTGATTGCAACTTTCTTCTTCCATATAATCTTCAAAAATACAAAACAAATTTATGATGCAATTCTTTTTTGCAATCATATGTGAATAAGAACGTAATGTATTAAGTTTCATTATAATTTAAATTGAATTAATAATAATAAAAAGAAAGGATTTAAATTAATAAATATCTTTCAAAAAATACATTGATGTACGAATGGTACAGGATCGTTTTTGCTTATTGATTTGTATATTTTCATTTATTTAAAGAAAAATCGCAGATTCGTAATATAAAATATATCTTGTACGCTTCCAGAAAATAGCGCCTATTCATTTCAATAAGACATCATATGTCTTTTTTTGAGAATTAAATATAATTGATACTCTTTGTGAAATCTTTATGATTTTCTTGCAAAATTACTTAATTATTTTAAAAACTGATACTTTTGAGAGGTATTCAATTATTAAGTATCCTTATTGCAGTTATGTGTGATATATATATAAGCGTACAAATATGATGTAATATCATATAAGTTCTTAAATCACAAAGACTATGTTCCTTAAAACACTATGTTCCAGAAGAATATTGTCAACTGAAAAATCGCCACTTTAATGTTTAATTAAGGAAATCAGGCGTATATAACACGGTGGGGAGACTTAAGACTAGAAATAATTGAATTGGAATTTTACTTAAAAATTAATTTACAAAAAGTATCAACCACAATCTTAATTAATCTAAATAAAAACAATTTACTATATTTAAAGACATTTTGTGAACTAAAAGAAATACTGATCATTTTTTAATGTTAGTCTATTTTTGCCGAAAGTGACGCGTCTTATTACAAAAAGAAATCATTTAAAAGATAGAAGCGTTCGAATAGGAAGGAAAAGATAACAGCAAAAAATTTTAATTAATTTATTGTAATTTGGCTGACCATACAAAGCTGTTTCGAGTATTGTCAAGTACTCATCAGCAGTGGTCTTAGGAAATATTCAAAATTTTTTAATAAGTTTTTAGTCCGTATATTATTTGTTCGGACTGCAAGGTTTCATTTTTTATTTTCAATTTAAAATTTGTAATTTATTTAAATTAAAATAAGATCAGACAAATATTTTTTTCTATTTTTTTACAAAACGTCTTTAATAACAATAATATTACTATTAAAAGTAAACACTAATTTACTAATTATTCCAATATTAAGAAATATGTCTTTTAAATTATTTCATTTTCAATTTCGCTTCTCCGTAGGAGTCGCGCTCTGTAACTCTATATCTCAGTAAAGATAATCAAGTTTAAAGTATATTTATTTTCATGAAATTAAAACGTCATCGATTTATCGATCAAACAAATTATAGTATTGGCGATTATCGATATAATTTTCGATATTCAATAAAACATCAGCTGATTTTTATTTTTGTTATGCAATAACTTCTAAAGTAATTCGATTGAAACGTTTGAGAAATAATTAATAAAGACATATCAGTAGGATTAATGGCTTTATAAATCAAGTTTTTTAATTTCACTTTTTCACCTTTTTTATGGACTTCTGTTAAAGATAACGAAGGAAAGAAAAGTCTGCTGCTTTGGAAATTTAGTTTTATAACTTAACCAAATAACAATTAAAAAAGACTTTCAGAGTTTTATCATTTTATAATTTTACATATTTTTCAGTTAAAGATTTACCAAGCTATATATGAATAACTCTAGTAAATGTCTGAGAAATTGTTCACACAAATTTGTAGTTATATCTGTTCAAACCCATCAATTAAGTTTCTTTAGTGAAAAATTCAATTTTTGACTATAAAGTTAAATTCATATACATTACGTATAGTAAAATTGCTACATCGTGAAAAAAAGAATTTGAGAAGATCTTAAGCGCAACGCAATGATAATAATATTTTATTGATTAATATTCTATTAGTATTAACATCTAGAATAGTCAAAATATCTAGATGTTTTTGTACAAAAGTTGTTTAATTAAAAAAAACTTTTTGTATTAAAATATTTCGCAATTCCACGCTGTTATTACCAATGGAGATATACTATGTTGAATGTTAAGCGGAACATGTTAGACAAAATTTACACTTATTTATTTCACCATATATATGTATTTCAATTTACCATATATATATACATATTATATCATATACCATATACGAAAAATGGATCAATTAAATCACTTTAACAACTGCCAACAAGCGGTAAAGGTCGATAGTTAGAAAAAGTTCAGAAAAATTAGTTTATAGCAGCAAATTAAAAAATGTTGATATTAATTTTGAGCAAGTCACGCTATTTAGCAATCTTTTGACCGCAGCCTTTGGAAACAAATATAAACGAGATAAGATTTTTTATTATTTCATATACAATATTTATCATTTCATAACCTACCACAATTTAGGCAATATTGGGAGAGCAAAAATTATCTATAGTGTTTTTATTACGAGTATATACGTACTTGTAGATTTATTATTTTGACTCCAAACAATAACAGAGAGAAGAAAGTATTTTCAAAACAGTACTCGTATTCAAACCAGAGAGAGTAGTGATTAATTATTATTTTTATCTTATAATAAATAATGTACACAACGTTTTTAACATTCACTTGACAATACACTTTGCTTCTGTATATATCTCTCATTGTAGTGTAAATAGCAACAAATATTTAAAAAAAAAATTTTTTTTAATTTAGTTACATATATATATATATAATATAATACGTAAACAATATTATATATATTCACAGTATAAACTAATAGATATGAGTACATGTTTAGTATTCAGATATCGATTTCATACCAGTATTTGCTATTTATACGATACTCAATAAATGGCATATAACTTAATTTGGTTTTAATAATTATAAATATTTTCATAAATATATTAATATATATACTCATTTGTATTCAAATTTTTTTATTTCTCTTAATAAATGATTTAATTAAGCAAACGAATTCAAAGAGAACAAATTTATTCTACATATTCATAACTTATAAATTTATAAGTTTCATTTCGATTTCAATTCTAAAGAAGCTGTAATATCTATAATTAAATTTTGACCAATAAAATCAATTTAATTCCAAATTAATATCGACATAATTAAAAAAAAAATATTTATATATATATATATATATATAGACTTCCCAACACTTTTCCTATATGACGGCAACAAATTAATTTACATAGTTTAACAAAAATTAAAATTACTACAAACAAAACAACCAATAAAAATCCTATAACATCCAATGATAATAACTGCCAGTTATTCAAGAATACTGCTGGAGATTGCATATGTTCAGCTTTATTATGACGTAGTACATACTCAACCTAAAATACTGCAACTTGACGTGCGGACATGGGTCTATCTCTGTACAAATCTGAGAACTGCTTTATAGTGTTGGTATATTTTGGATTATCTAAAACTTCAATAATGGCATCTTTAAAGTCGTCTGCATTCAGACTAACATAATATAGTCTAATAAAACACCATATCCTTCGCTTATAACATTAAGAGCATTATCTGGCTGATCGCCGGAAAGTGGTATACACACCATTGGTACACCATGATAAACTATGGATGTGAAACTTCTGTAAACAATATTGTCTGCGAAACCCGAAGCATCCGCTTCTTCCCATTTCCATAGTATTTTATATGGTAATTTTGATAATACATCAAACCACATTTTTGTTTTTTCTTTTGGTACATGTGAACTTTTAACAGTTGATCCTAAACTGAAAAATATTGCTCCATTTTTAGCACTATCAAGATGTTGTTTTATATCTTCAGGTAATGGATCAGGTTTTTCTTTAATTTGTATACCACCAATTTCAACCATGGCAGGTACATTTGGTCTAATAGGTCCTTGACTGAAATGATGATTAGTGAACACGAGTGAAATATTTTTTTTGACTTCATCCAAAGAAGGATACTGATCAGCTGGAAAATACGTTCTGAAATTAAAATATTACAAAGTTATTGAATATCATAATAACAGCATTAGTATTATATTTTTATTCTTAAATTTAAAGCAAATATTATTGAACATAAAGCAATTATTGTAAATATATAGTATATTAGGCTACAGTAGCTAAGCGTAAACTTGTTATCAAACATCGAGAACGCGTGTACTGATAAGTTTTTTTCAAAGTTACTTTACCTTCTTTGAAATTTTCGCTTTGTCATATTGGTTTAATAATGTATGAAAGTGGTCTCACGTATTGATAAGCATTACTAACACAATCTTTTTTTTATTCTAACTAATTGTGATTATTATTCTGTTTGCTGGGTATAAAATATATTCTTACGTGCGAAACCCTTAGCAATAATGATAAAGGTAAAAATGATTAATGAATGCTTAAGGATAATCCAGATTTTTAATATAATTGGTGATATTGGGTATGAACTCAAACGCTTATTATTCATCCATTCAGTTTTGAATTATAAATATATGCAGCCATATTCCACCAGTAACATTAACATAAAATTGCTGTTACTCTCTATTTAATCTTGAGAGTCGTAGTTTAAATTTTTCCACTTTCACTATATATGATTCATACGCAAAACCGCTGCGCCGCTAGCTTACTTTATAAGGCTTCCTTAAGATGTGCTCCAACTAGTTCATTATTAATCTTTTAACATAAATGTTTCTTTGCTTATAATCTGTTATTAACTCTCCGGTTTAATATGGTTCGTGGTATCATATTTTAAATATATTATTAAACCACGTCATATATCAAAATATTTAACATTTGATATTTGAATAAATCAGCTTCGTTTCTATAGATGATTGATTTTCTGCCGGTGTTATAAATATGAATTTTTATTTTTGACTGTCTGTATTCCACTTATTATGCAAGTATATGAAGGTGATGAGTGATATTTCTATTTTGCTTTCTTTATTATCAATAACACAGCCATCGGTAAACATGGTGCTTTCGAAATGGTAAAAAGTATTGGCATTCTTAATAATGGCGACTGATTATAAAAACTAATGATCGTGTCTATTGATGTTATCGCTCTGTTGATATTTACCTTGCATATGTCTAGTATATGTCTATGTTGTAAATTTTTATACCAAAATCGTTTACAGTAATATTAAACGTCAAAACTCACTATAATCAGTAAACAATTATTTTTCTTTGCATATAAAGCAAAGTAATTTTATATATATACTGAATACTAAATTTGGAGCAATACAGATTAGTCTCTAACCTTATCCCCAACATAAGGATGACACGCAAAATTATGAAACGTTTCATAATAACATCAATATATGCTTTTTACATCAATTAAAACAATATTGTTTTAAAAAAATCTAAATTCTCATGTAAAATGTGTGACTTCATAACGTGAAATAATTATTTTAAATTATGAAATAAAAGGACCTAACTAAAACTTTCATAAATTCTTCAAAAACTTTCATAAATTTGTCTTTTGGTGTCTCTCGCTCTCTCTCTCTCCCTCTCTCTCTTTCTCTCTCTTTCTCTCTGTCTCTCCCTCTCTCTCTCTTTCTTCATTTTATTGTACAGCCCAATCGTTACACTTTTATTTAAAAATATCAATATTTGAATATCAAATAGATATGGGCTTATATGGCCAAAGTAATTAAAGCATCTTGATTGTGACTTATTAATAGCGAACCATTTACATCACTTGTCATTTTTGCTAACGTTGTAACCCAAAGTTTGGTTACAAGCGTTGGTATGGTCAAAAGTAAAAAGCCTTTATGAAAAATTGATTCTTGTCTTTGATGTGGTACTTCCTCATTTTTGTCACTTTCAGCCGGAGCACCCACTGTCATGTTAATATTTTTATTATTAAATGAATAAATAATAAACTTAATACTTGTTAAATATATAATAGTGATAAAATATATATCAAACTGTTTCCCTTTATTTCTTAAATTCCACAAAATGGGATTGTTGGATTTATTTTGCGCGCGTCAAAGATAGACACTAGCAAACAGAAAATATGCCATATTTTACAGTTTTTCTTTAATAAAGGCGAAAACACAAGCCTAGCGGCAGAAAATATGAATAGTGTAACAGTCCTGATTCTATAACAGTCAATCAGGCACAATTTTCTTTTCGTCGATGCTGTTCCGGTTATTTCGATTTCAAAGATGCACCATGCACTGGAAGGCCAATTGTCGAAAATGTCTGAAGGTTGGTGAGTAGTGAAGAAAAGTGACTGGTAATCACTTACGACAACGTCAATCGAAAACGGTCGTGGTTGAATCACGATTAGCCGGCTATAATGGTGATCAAGCCAGGTTTGACGACCTTGAAAGTTTTGTTGTGTATTTGGTAGAACTGGCAGAAAGTCATCTACTATGCTTTACTACGGTTATATAGGAATAGGAAAGAAAATGTTTTACATCAGGACAACGCTAGTCCACACACACCAATAATGACTCGCCAAAATCTCCGAGAGCTTTATAGGCTAGAACTGGTACTAAGTAATTATCATCTGTTCCTATGTATGTATACGATAAATAATTTCCCTACAATGAGTATAGTACTAAAATTTAACGATAAAATCTTTAAGTAATTTAATTATTCTATAGTTAGATTACGATTTTGTTCTAACAAACTAACTAACCTTCAAGGTGGCAAAATAAACAGATACACAATAACAAAATATTTTCAACATCTTAACATTATACATAAAATATATTTTAATACTTTTATTAAATATTTTATATGCATATATTTATATACCGAATAAGATTACGTCTTTACATATAAACCGGGAGAAGCAAACAATTCTTAAATAACGGAAGTAAAAACTTTATAGAATAGTATATATTATATTACAATCAATCATCACAACTTGTTCATATTTTGCAAACAAACGTGTTTTATTATAAAACAATTATTTATATAAAAATCTAATTATTTTTCTTTGTTTTAATAGACTTTCCAGCACTTTTTCCTTTACTACGACAACAAATTAACTTACATAGTTCAACAAAAATTAAAATTACTACAAACAAAACAGTCAATAAAAATCCTATAACATCCAATGATAATAACTGCCAGTTATTCAAGAATACTGCTGGAGATTGCATATGTTTAGCTCCCTTGTGACGTAATATATACTCAACCCAAAATACTGCAACTTGACGTGCAGACATAGGTCTATCTCTGTACAAAACTGAGAACTGCTTTATAGTGTTGGTATATTTTGGATTATCTAAAACTTCAACAATGGCATTTTTAAAGTCCTCTGCATTCAGATTAATATAGTCTAATGAAACACCATATCCTTCGCGTATAACATTTAAAGCATTAGCTGGCTGATCACCGAAAAGTGGTATACACACCATTGGTACACCGTGGAATTGTGATTCGACAACACTACCTTGTCCGGCATGTGTTATAAATAGTTTCACATTTGGATGTGCTAAAATATCATCTTGAGGTAACCAACTTCTGTAAACGATATTTTCTGAAAAGCCCGGAGCATCAGCTTCTTCCCATTTCCAGAGTATTTTATATGGTAATTTTGATAACACATTAAACCACATTTTTGTTTTTTCTTTTGGTACATGTGAACTTTTAACAGTTGATCCTAAACTGAAAAATATTGCTCCATTTGTAGCACTATCAAGATGTTGTTTTATGTCTACAGGTAATGGATCAGGTTTTTCTTTGATTTGTATGCCACCAATTTCAACCATGGCAGGTACATTTGGTCTAATAGGTCCTTGACTGAAATGATGATTAGTGAACACGAGTGAAATATTTTTTTTGACTTCATCCAAAGAGGGATATTGATCAGCTGGAAAATACGTTCTGAAATTAAATATTAAGGAATTATTAAATCCAAAAAATATCATTTGTGTCATAAACTTAGTAAATATATGAATCAAATTTTTCTATCTATAATAAAATTTATTTAAATATAACTGAGCATAAATTAATCTCAAGTAGCTTAATTTATAAATGTTACTTACACAATACATATTTATTATAGACTTTTTGTTTGCTAGAAGAAATATTTTTTTTAAAATATATTATTTATTATTTTAATATAAATAATATTTTATTTTTTATTTAAAAAATTTATTTAAAAAATTGTAACGAAAAGTGTTACCGTAATCCAAATGCTTGTTATAATCGATAATGTTAGTTTTGGTTTCAATTTCTTCATGTTTTCGAAATATCATAAGAAAATAAAAACTCAATTATTATTACATATATATTAATAAATGTTTTAAATAAACAGTAATAAAATTAATACACATGGTTTCTAAAATTTTAATTTTTTTAAATATCTGTATCAGTGCCAGTAAGTTATTACATATATTATTAAGAGTAAAATAATTAATTAATGATTATCATACCTGTAATATTTATTATTTTCGTAATTGAGCAAAGGCATCATTAACGAATTCTCTAGCATTGAAGCTAAGAAGTTTTGTACTCGTCCCAAAAATGTCAGCGGTTGCTTTAAACTGCTAAGCATGGTAGGCACATACGAAATTTGTTCCGGATTTCCAACTAGATCATTCAAAAACAACATAGGTTGTATCATAAATGAAACCACAGTTGGACAATCGAAATGTGCACTTAATCCAAAATGAAATTCATTCATAAAATAACCATATATTATGAGATCAAATGATGATTTCTTATGATTTTTTAAGAATTCTTGCATTGTTGGATGTCCCATAGTCTCATTAGCCATTTCCATAATATTGCTTAACATATGACTCATAAGCTTATAGGCGGGTTGTGGATTGTTTATCATTTCTGTTGCAAAGTCATCCGTATAAGTGGATGAATTAATATGAATGAAATTGTATTTGCCATTTTTGTTTACATTTGGCACCACAGAGAGAACAGTAACGTTGTGTCCTGCACGTCCTAGAGCATCAGCTATAGAACTGTGTATTAGAAAATGTGATTTTGAAGGACCCGGGAAAAATCCAAGTATATTTGCAGAATTTGTCTCATTTGGTAGTGAGACAAATTGAACTAGTATAAAAACAAACGAAACTAGTAAGGATCGATTAAACATTTCGAACTATCAATCGACCTACTCAATACCGGAGTTCAAACAATACTGAAATTTCAACGAAAAATTTACTTATAAATATAACTGAAAACTTGAACAATACTCGTACACGAAATCATAAAAATTTAGTCAGTTGATTAAAAAACACTAAAACATACTTGTGTAAATTTTAATTTTAATTTTCATCATTAATTGTAAAATTTTATAAAAAAAATGCTACTTTAATGATCAAAAACGAGCCTTCGTATAAATGGACTATTCGTACTTTATAAAATGAAAAGTCATTCAATATATACATACTCAATATTATTCTTATTAAACGGTAGCGCGTTAAATGAAATACTCAATACTTCTTCATTAAATAATATTACATATAATAAAGGAAAAATAAAACTACATATTTTTATATTATTTAAATATTTGCATATTAAAAACATTTGTAAGAATATTTACTCTTCTCAATATTATTCATAGTATTTCTTCATATTAACTTCTAATATGATTATCATTCCGATTAAATCGTAGTTTATTTAATATTGCTACCAGTTTAATATTTGGTTATCTTTAATCTTTTTTTTTTTTGAACTTTTTGCAATATCATTCCGATTTACTTGTGAAACCAACATCGTCACCATGAACATAGTGATAAAATTTCAGTGCATGTCGGTCAATGGTGCTACAAACACTATATCGGAAACGCCTAATGGTTCCTATTATACAAATATTCGTGATCTAGCAATAACATTTAATTTTGAAAATAACAGACTACTTTAGTTTAAGAGTACTATTTACAAGTTAATAGCTCTTCTTCACACTCTAGTATAAAATAGATCTAAAATTTTGTCAATTTAACATCATTTAAAGTCATTATGTATTTAATTCTTAAATCAATGTAATTATATTACTTATTTTATGTAGTGGAACATACCCCAGATTTCAGTGATTTTTATTACAAAAAAATTACCATCTAAAAAATAAATCATATCACAGTAGTATTTTGTTTGTAAGCAGTTATCCGAGGAATTAACTAATGTTTCTAATTTTGATCCATCAGTGCCTGCAACACATACTATATTGAAGGAAAAGAAAAAAATTAAGTTGTTTGAATCTTCTGAAATCACCACGTTTCGTCACCAGTTACTTTGTTGACATACTTGAAGGATTCATTCAAAATGTTTTTAACATATCTTCGCAATGCATAACTCTCTGGTCTTTATTGAGTTCCATTAGAGTTCGCAACAAGAAGCGTACATAAACCTGTAGCGTTTTCCCAAATCTTTGCTCAAAATTCTCTAGACTTTACATTTACATTTCTCTGTATTGGCACAGTGGTCGCTTCGAACGTATTTTTTAACCTTCCCAATGTTCATTTAATTTTAGAGACGTATAAATTTCTAATATGTACAGACAGCAAATCTACAATTGAAGCTAAAAAACTTATCTGCGTTATCAGAAATAATTGTATACATTTTTCAAATAAAATTAAAATCATGTAGGTTCCTGGGCACGCAGGAATCAAAGGAAATGAACTAGCAGATTAAGCTGCCTCTGTTGCCATTCGCTCTCCCTTGTTCTTATTCAATATATCCGAAAAAAAAACCTATTAATCTTTATAAATAAACATATAGATGGGCTATGGCATGGTCAGTGTACAACCATCGCTACAAGTCGATCAGTACCAGTGGATTAAAAATAATATACCCACAATTATGCTCACGTCAACAATGTCAAATTTTTATCTGATTGCGTATGGGATATACAAAGCTTTTTCATAAAAACCTTTTGCGTGGAGATCAGTCATCAAATTGTCCATTTTGTAATCGCATACCATCCATAGATCATGTACTTAACAATTACTCTATTTTTGATTACTATTCGTAGTAATACCTTTCCAAACATCTTACCTACCAGCCTATTAAACACAATTACTGTTAAAAATATACCTTTGATATATAATATAGTAAAGCCTGCAATCTAGTCAATAAAATTTAATTTATAATATCCAAGTTGAAGTCCCAGGCAGCTAGCCCTGGTTTTTCCTACCTTAGTTACAAGATTTTATATTTTGTAATTAATTGTAATAAATAAATAAATAAGAATAGAGACGTACTAGATTATCGTTATCATGGTCATTCTTCACTGAATCTATTAAACCAACCAAAAACTTGATGCGATGAACATGCGTTCATTCTTACACACATTTTTTAACAGTTCGTATGTTTCTGTACCACTTTTACTCAATTTGAAACATGTATATATTTCTACCGATATACACAAAGTAACATTATGTATAATAAAATATCGTCACACTGAAATATCAAATTTTGTTAGCAAGCAGAAAAAGTTTACACCATTCACTTATAAATGTCGCTGCGGTTATAATATTTTTAGAACCGGTCTCATCAGACAGACTGTGTTTGTTAATACATATTAGCTAATATGATATGTATCCACCGTTTTTTATCACTAAATGTATTGATATCCATATACTATATACGACATCTATTATCGTTTAAAAAATGCTTAAAAGATGACATTTCCAGCTACATTCTCCGTGAAAACAGTTGAAGAAATATGTTATATGATTCTTTACTACATTATAAAAAGGCAAAACTACTGCAAAAACATGTCGAAACAGTTGTGAAAGATCTAATTATGGATCATCTAATTAACTAATTATGATCAGCCAGTCACCAAAAGCTCTATGAAATTTTGCAACTGACTTGAAGCTTTCAGGAAATAGCGAAGACAACAAACTTCAATCACGTAAAATTGTAGATTCATTTAAAAAGAGCTGACTTCTTTCTATATCTACTATTTGACTTTAACGTTGATAACATCAGAATAATAAAGAGAAAAAGAATTCACATTAAGTGACTGACATTGGAGTAATAACATTTAAAAACATATAAATAGAACAATGAACAAAAAAAAGGATACCGGTAACATCTGCACAAGCTATATACTATTCCTATGTAAGCTGCTATTTAATGGTCCCTCCACGATGAAGATGTACTAAAACCTTTGAAACGTTGGCAACTTTATATAGCACTATATCAACAATATTAAATTCAAAAACTGTGGAAACAGTTTTACATAAATAGTATTTAAATAGTAAATAAATAAATTTTTTATTGATATTTATTAATGTAACAAAAAGTTATCTTTTTAGAAAAAGGCTTTTTAGTCATAACAAACATTAAAACAAAAAACAAAAGTAAAAGTAAAAAAAATTTTTTTTAATTCTAATCACAAAGTTGTATAGATAAGAATATATCAGAAGCGAAACAATTATTTATAACAAGTTTATTTTTATATTTTATATTTTGTTTACATGCTTATGTTTTAATATAAAACAATTCTTTAAATAAAAATCTAATTATTTTTCTTTGTTTTAATAGACTTTCCAACACTTTTTCCTTTACGACGGCAACAAATTAACTTACATAATTTAACAAATATTAAAATTACTACAAACAAAACAGCCAATAAAAATCCTATAACGTCCAATGATAATAACTGCCAGTTATTCAAGAATACTGCTGGAGATTGCATATGTTTAGCTCCCTTGTGACGTAATATATACTCAACCCAAAATACTGCAACTTGACGTGCAGACATAGGTCTATCTCTGTATAAAACTGAGAACTGTTTTATAGTGTTGGCATATTTTGGATTATCTAGAACTTCAACAATGGTATTTTTAAAGTCCTCTGCATTCAGATTAATATAGTCTAATGAAAGACCATATCCTTCGCGTATAACATTTAAAGCATTCGCTGGCTGATCACCGAAAAGTGGTATACACACCATTGGTACACCGTGGAATTGTGATTCGACAACACTACCTTGACCGGCATGTGTTATAAATAGTTTCACATTTGGATGTGCTAAAATATCATCTTGAGGTAACCAACTTCTGTAAACGATATTATCTGCGAAACCCGGAGCATCAGCTTCTTCCCATTTCCAGAGTACCTTATATGGTAATTTCGATAATACATCAAACAACACTTTTGCCTTTTCTTTTGGCAAAAATGAACCCTTAACATTTGATCCTAAACTGAAAAATATTGCTCCATTTTTTGCACTATCAAGATGTTGTTTTATATCTTCAGGTAATGGATCAGGTTTTTCTTTGATTTGTATGCCACCAATTTCAACCATGGCAGGTACATTTGGTCTAATAGGTCCTTGACTGAAATGATGATTAGTGAACACGAGTGAAATATTTTTTTTGACTTCACCCAAAGAGGGATACTGATCAGCTGGAAAATACGTTCTGAAATTAAAATATAACATAGTTATTGAATATCATAATAACAGCATTAGTAATATATTTTTATTCATAAATTTAATGCAAATATTATTGAACATAAAGCAATTATTGCAAATATATAGTATATTAGGCTACAGTAGCTAAGCGTAAACTTGTTATCAAACATCGAGAACGCGTGTACTGATAAGTTTTTTTCAAAGTTACTTTACTTTTTTTGAAATTTTCGCTTTGTCATATTGGTTAAATAATGTATGAAAGTGGTCTCACGTATTGATAAGCATTACTAGCACAATCTTTTTTATTCAAACTAATTATAATTATTATTTTGTTAGCTAGGTGAGAAATGTTTTCTTACCTGCGAAACCCCTAGCAATAATGATTAAGGTAAAAATGTTTAATGAATACTTAAGGATAATCCAGATTTTTAATATAATTAGTGATATTGGGTATGAATTCAAACGCTTATTATTCATCCAATCAGTTTTAAATTACAAATACATATATGCAAATATTTTTATATATATAATGTGGGAAAAATACACATACTTATTCTATTTCTTTCCTTTTAACATGTTATCAAATCTTCATTAAATAAGAATCTGGGCATCATATATTGAATATATCACATAAACCACGCTTGGTAAAATTCTTCATTTTTCATTTGATATTTGAATAAATAAACCTTGTTTTAATAGATGTCTGATTTTACGCCGGTGTTTATCCAAACTTATTAAGGCGATAAATAGCTTTCCTATTCTGTTTTCTTTATTGTCAACAACATTGTTGCTTTCCTGGTGGTAAAAAGTAATGGGGCTCTTAATCAGAACAATGCTGATCATGAAAGCGGTCAATCACAGATCTATTACTGCTATAGCTATAGTTATGTTGATATTTACATTGCTTATCTTTTTGATTATATGTGAAAGAATATTAAACGGATATTATTATTTGTTTGATGATGATTATTATTTGATCTAAGCTTTCTTATAGCACGAGTAATTTCATCACGTAAAACAATTTTTTTATATAAAGAAATAAAAGGTCCTAACTAAAACTTTCACAAATTCTTCACATAGGTTTAGAAATTTCAATTCATTTAATTTAAATATGAATTGATAAAAAATGAAATGATGATTTTAATATTTTCTTACCTATAATATTTATTGCTTTCGTGATCAAGTAAAGACTTCAGTACCAAACGCTCAAACATTGAAGCCAAAAAGTTTTGTACTCGCCCAAAGAAAGTCAACGGTTGTTTTAATCCACTAAAAATTGTCGGGACATACGCAATTTGGTCCGGATTTCCAACTAGATCATTCAAAAACAACATAGGCTGTATCATAAATGAAACCACTGTTGGACAATCGAAATGTGCACTTAATCCAAAATGGAATTCATTCATAAAATAGCCATACAATATGAGATCAAATGATGATTTCTTATGATTTTTTAAGAATTCTTGCATTGTTGGATGTCCCATAGTCTCATTTGCCATTCCTATCACATTGGTCAACATTTGACCCATACGTTTGTAGACAGGTTGTGGATCATTTATCATTTCTTTAGCAAACTTGTCAGCAAAAGTGGATGAATTAATATGAATAAAATTGTATTTGCCATTTTTATTTATATTAGGCACCGTAGAAAGCACAGTAACATTATGTCCAGCATGTCCCAAAGCATCAGCTATAGAACTGTGTATTAGAAAATGTGACTTTGAAGGACCCGGAAAAAATCCAAGTATATTTGCAGAATTGGTCTCGTTTGGCAATGAGACAAATAAAACTACAATAAAAACAAACGAAAGCAATAATGATCGATCAAACATTTCGAAATATCAACCGAACTACTCAACACCGGAGTTCAAACAATACTAAAATTTCAACGAAAAATTTGCTTATAAATACAACTGAAGCAATACTCGTAACTCTTAAATGTACAGAACTGAGCAGATGAGCGCTTTTATAACAAAGAAAGAAGAGAATTCTGATTATTTTCTACATAATATTCTATTGAGGGTAAGTGAGTAATGCTTCTCGATTTTCTATCCCAGTAGAAAACGGATTGATCCGTCATCGAAGACGTCTTCAAGACATGGATACATACATGAAGACCGATCGATCCAAATGTATGACGGTCTTTGAAGACACTTTCATACAAATTAGCCAAATGTCTTCAATGAATTTTTGCGTACATGTCTCGAAGACCGTCTCGAAGACCATGTCTTGCATAACGGACGCATTCGACAGAAAGTTGTGCGCTCTTAGTGCAGTGCTCATATAATTTTTTCACCCTTTTTTTTATTTCTACTCTTTTATTTTGCTCTTTAAATTTTAAATAAATTTCAATTTTCTCTTTAAATAAGTAGAAAGAAATTGTTGTATTTTGTACTTTTATTTATTTTATATAATAATTTTTTACATTACATTCAAAATTAAAAGTTTTAGAAGTAAATTATAAATTTTATTATAAATTATTATAAATTTTATTAAGACAGTAATAATAAATTAAATTAAACATAATGCAAATTAATTTAAATAATTAACTTAATATAACTTAACATATCTAAAATAAACTAAAACTAATATAAAATAATTTATAGCATTTCGCTATCATCAATTGTTGAAGTTTTATATGTTTTGAAGAGGATTTTGATACAATTAAACCTTCTGATCTTAAGAGTTCTAAAATATCATTACCACAATGCCTGTTAATCCTGTGTTTTTAAATATACCAGCTAATTTTTCACAAGTGTTTTCAGTTTTTTTATTTTCAACATCCTTTGTTTCGTTTCTAAAACAACTTTCACTGGAATTATTGTCTTCAATATTAATATCAATATATTTTCCAGGAACTAAGTCAATATTTAATTTGTTTTGATTTAATTTATTTTTTTTAATATTTCATAGTTTAATGATTTTGTTTCTTTATTCATTTTGATTTTTTTAATATTTATTTCACAAATGTTTATTTACTACACTTCAAAATTATTGCGTCACTTCACAGCTTCATCTGAGGCAAAATTCAAATACATTGCTATGAACACTAAAAATGAGAGAGAAAGCAAAGAAAGAGTATTTACATTCATGTTTTGAGCAACTGTTTTGCAAATTTGCTTGAACATGCGGACGCGGTATCAAAGACCGTCTTGAAGACAATGTCTTCGAAGACCACTTTTTCTACTGGGTATATACTCAGTCACTGAATGTGGTTTGAATATAAATTTTCATACAGCTACAAAAGTTGAGCTAATTGAACTTTGTGTAACCGGATGTCATTCCGGTTACTTTTCACGGTTTAAATCTGCGCGGACCATAGCTCATGTATATTTAAATTGAATTGAAATGTATTTCTAAAATACATTTATTTTTATATTTTACATATTTTTTTGAAACAAACATTTCAAAAAAGTTGTCAAGATGCGGTCAAAACATTTTAAAAATAATTTTCATCAAGTTTTGTTTTTTATCTCTATCCCTCTCTCTCTCTCTCTTTCTTTATTTTATTGTACAACCGAGAGAGAACCGCTATAGTTTTATTAAAAAATATAATCAGTTGATAAAAATCATAATAAAACAATTTTTGTTTTAGTTTCGAATTTCATCATTATTGAATACCAAATAGATATTCTGATAATCTAAAGGGAACCTTTAAACGTAAAAGTCATTAAACCAGTGTCGGTTTAAGTATTATCAGCGCCTTAGGCAAGATTACCTTATGTACTATCAAGACTCGAATGAAAAACCTAAAAAGGAAACAATTGTAAAGAATAAAGACAAAAAGGGAATAACATAAAATAATACATAGTTATAAAAATTACTTTATTTTAAAATCAGGAATATACATTTGGAGACAGCAGGACATAAGGAACAAGAATTTGCGTGTGTTATATACAATAATATAAAGAAATGCTCTTGTAAATTAATATTTTTTTAATGATCACAAACTTATTATTCATAATAATACTAATAAAATTTTACTTTTTGCAAACTCTCTTAGTACGATTAATCAATTAATGTCCAAATTATCTGCAGTTTCGTTCTTGACTTGTCAGATTTGTTATTCTGGGTTAAGAATTGTCCACATTGACGTTTAGTTCGTAGAGGTATTTTGATGTTTTAGAAAACAGGTTCAATTTTAAGCTATTACTTTCCTTCACTGTTTAAGGGGCGTTTTTGAAGCCTGTTGTTCTAAACTCTTGCTTGTAAGCTCAACATTTTTAAATAATTCTGTAAGTTTACTAAGTTTTTATATATATTACTTGTGCCGATTTGCTAGCAATATTAATTTAAGAACGTATCTTATACCAAACCACCAACGAAACTATGACATTAAAATTTTTTAACTGTTATGCTAAAGTCATGAGTCCTATGAGAGACACGTTTTTTTTCTAGGCTTATGAGGGGACTACTACATCACTGGTATATCACTGGCTACCCAACATCTAGTTACATGCGTTGGTACTGTCAAAAGAAAAAAGCCTTTATGGAAAATTAATTCTTATCTTTTTTCTGGTACCAATCAGGCACAATTTTCTTTTCGTCGATTCTGTTCCGGTTATTTCGATGTCAAAGAAGCACCACGCACTGGAAGGCCAATTGTCGAAAATGTCGATTAAATCATGGAAATTGTCGAATCCGACCATTATGTATGCACTGCTTAGATTGCCCAAAATGACGCAATCGAGTTAACGCAAAAAAACCTCATGAACCGAAATTCCATCTGCGGCTCGCTGCTGAATCGCAACCAAATCGACCCATTTCTGAAGCTTGGTGAATGGTGAAGAAAAGTGACTGGTAAACCGGCTATAATGGTGACCAAGCCAGGTTTGACGACCTTGAAAGTTTTGCTATGTATTTGGTAGAATTGGCAGAAAATCATCTACTATACTCTACTGCGGTTCAACTCTTAACTCGAAATAGTAGTATCAACGATTAAACCGTCTGAAGAAGGCAGTAGCCTAAAACGACTAACTTTGGGCAATAGGAAAGAAAATGTTTTACATCAGGACAACGCTAGTCCACACACACCAATAATGACTCGCCAAAATCTCCGGGAGCTTTTTAGGCTAGAACTGGTACCAAGTAATTATCATCTGTTCCTATGTATGTATACGATAAATAATTTCCCTACAATGAGTATAGTACTGAAATTTAACGATAAAATCTTTAAGTAATTTAATTATTCTATAGCTAGATTACGATTTTGTTCTAACAAACTAACTAACCTTCAAGGTGGCAAAATAAACAGATACACAATAACAAAATATTTTCAACATCTTAACATTATACATAAAATATATTTTAATACTTTTATTAAATATTTTATATGCATATATTTATATACCGAATAAGATTACGTCTTTACATATAAACCGGGAGAAGCAAACAATTCTTAAATAACGGAAGTAAAAACTTTATAGAATAGTATATATTATATTACAATCAATCATCACAACTTGTTCATATTTTGCAAACAAACATGTTTTAATATAAAACAATTATTTATATAAAAATCTAATTATTTTTCTTTGTTTTAATAGACTTTCCAACACTTTTTCCTTTACGACGGCAACAAATTAACTTACATAATTTAACAAATATTAAAATTACTACAAACAAAACAGCCAATAAAAATCCTATAACGTCCAATGATAATAACTGCCAGTTATTCAAGAATACTGCTGGAGATTGCATATGTTTAGCTCCCTTGTGACGTAATATATACTCAACCCAAAATACTGCAACTTGACGTGCAGACATAGGTCTATCTCTGTATAAAACTGAGAACTGCTTTATAGTGTTGGCATATTTTGGATTATCTAGAACTTCAACAATGGTATTTTTAAAGTCCTCTGCATTCAGATTAATATAGTCTAATGAAACACCATAACCTTCGCGTATAACATTTAATGCATTCGCTGGCTGATCACCGAAAAGTGGTATACACACCATTGGTACACCGTGGAATTGTGATTCGACAACACTACCTTGTCCGGCATGTGTTATAAAAAGTTTCATATTTGGATGTGCTAAAATGTCATCTTGAGGTAACCAACTTCTATAAATAATATTTTCTGAAAAGCCCGGAGCATCAGCTTCTTCCCATTTCCAGAGTATTTTGTATGGTAATTTTGATAATACATTAAACCACATTTTTGTTTTTTCTTTTGGTACATGTGAACTTTTAACAGTTGATCCTAAACTGAAAAATATTGCTCCATTTTTAGCACTATCAAGATGTTGTTTTATGTCTTCAGGTAATGGATCAGGTTTTTCTTTGATTTGTATACCACCAATTTCAACCATGGCAGGTACATTTGGTCTAATAGGTCCTTGACTGAAATGATGATTAGTGAATACGAGTGAAATATTTTTTTTGACTTCATCCAAAGAGGGATACTCATCATCTGGAAAATACGTTCTGAAATTAAATATTAAGGAATTATTAAATCCGATAATATTATTAATCTGTCTGACATAAGCTTTATAAATATATGAATTTTATGCGTTTTTATACAACAAAATATGTAAAGAACTTAAATTAATTTTTTTTATCTTTTCTACATGAAATTATGTTAATATATACTCATTTAGTATAAATTATTCTCGAGTAGCTTTGCCTTCTTTAGAATTTTCGCTGTGTCATGCTGAGTTTATGTTTTATACATTTCTCACACACTGATAAGTGATAAAAATAAAATATATATTTATTATAGACTATTTTGTTTGCTATACGAAATATTATTTTCTTACTGAAGAAATAACTGACAATAATGATAAGCATAAAAATTCAAAACAAAAGTGTTAGCAAAGTCCACATGTTCGTAATAATAGCATATTATTTTTGGTTTCAGTGATAAATAATTTCTTTATGTTTTTGGATTACCATAAGAAGAAAACTCAATTATTATTATATATATATTAATAAATGTTTTAAACAAACAGTTATAACATTAATACACATGTTTTCTAAAATTTTAATAAATTAAAATTAATTAATAATTATCATACCTATAATATTTATTATTTTCGTATTTAAGTAAAGGCATCAGTAACATATTCTCTAGCATTGAAGCTAAGAAATTTTGTACTCGTCCCAAAAATGTCAGCGGTTGCTTTAAACTGCTAAAAATAGTGGGCACATACGAAATTTGTTCCAGATTTCCAACCAAACTATTGACGGCGATCATAGGCTGTACCATAAATGAAACCACTGTTGGACAATCGAAATGTGCACTTAATCCAAAATGGAAATCATTCATGAAATAACCATGTATAATGAGATCAAATGATGATTTCTTATGATTTTTTAAGAATTCTTGCATTGTTGGATGTCCCATAGTCTCATTAGCCATTTCCATGATATTGCTTAACATATGACTCATAAGCTTATAGGCGGGTTGTGGATTGTTTATCATTTCTGTTGCAAAGTCATCCGTATAAGTAGATGAATTAATATGAATGAAATTATATTTGCCATTTTTGTTTACATTTGGCACCACAGAGAGAACAGTAACATTATGTCCTGCACGTCCCAAAGCATCAGCTATAGAACTGTGTATGAGAAAATGTGACTTTGAAGGACCCGGGAAAAATCCAAGTATATTTGCAGAATTTGTTTCATTTGGTAGTGAACAAATTAAAACTAACGTAAACATGAAAGACAGCAACAGCACCCGTTCAAACATTTTGACTTATAAATCGAACTACTCAATACCGGAGTTCAAACAATACTGAAATTTCTCTGCGAAATATACTTAGAAATAGAACTGATGCTAAAGCGCTTCTCGTATCATTCATTTTTGTAAAATTAAGCAGACGAGAACTGCTTAAGAAAGACAGAGAAACGTTTATAATGCGAGAGAAACTAAATTAATTTGATTTCTTAATTAATTTATGAGTATATATGTATGTATAAAGTTTATTCATGTTTGCACCGTTTGAATAATTTGGTAAAGAAAAAAAATTAGTACTACTATAAATAATAGGTTAATGCGAGTTATAAAGATTAAACAATTCGAATTACAAATTTACAAGTTGAATTACAAATTAAACAACAATAAAACTGATATAAATGCTATCGATCGATTATTTAGAAGATAAGACAAAACAGTGTTAATGAAATTTAATAATATTTATATATAAAATTAAATGAAATATATATTCTATGAAAGAGAGCATTAAACTAGGAATTTTATAATATGCTCGTATTAAGAAATATTTAAAAACTTATTTATGCTTCTATATTAATCATTCAAAACGATCTGGAAGTTGTTAAAATATGGTTAAGGTTTCTTATGCATACATTTCAAACTATATCTTGCGAACTAGAAATCACTAGAACTGATTAGAACTAGAAATCGATCCTCTTTATTAGGATAAACCATGAATTTTATAATGCACTCGTATTAAAAAATATTTAAAAACATCTTATTTATGCTTCTATATTAATCATTCGAAATGATCTGGATGTTGTTAAAATATTGTTAAGGTTTCTTATGCATACATTTCAAACTATATCTTATGAACTAGTAATGAATAGAATGACTAGACCTATAAATCGTTCCTTTGGATCGATTTAATAGTTCAACATATAATCATGATAAATACATTTGGCTCTCAAAAATATCTTCATGATGTGTCACCAATATTCATGCCACCGAATCCACTTTTACAAATTGAATGATTAAACCTATTTTTTTCATAAATTTTCTATTAGGTTTTTTTTATTTATTATCTTTATTATCTGTCCTTCACATCTATACATGCTTCCTATTTCTTGACTTGAGTTTATGAACTAAAACAAATCGAAGCAACAAACTCTGGCGGCCAGAATAGATAATCCCAACTGCAGATCACAAACTTTTTCTTGTGGCATATTCCGTACAGAATGCTCTTGAGAACGTTAGGACAAGTCCGTATTTTTAAGTCTAAAAATTGAAAAATTGGACTGGTTTTTTGTCAAAGATATTAACCAAAATATAAGTTGCATAAGAGTACAATAGTAGATAATGTATAGAATATCTTTTAACAAAGTTACCATTGAATATTTTATTTTAAAAGAAAAATTTTTTCTTTGAATTAAAATTGTACAATATTTCATATATTATTTTTATGCAGCAGATATTGTTACCAAAATTCTTTTCACTAACTTTTCATATATTTCGCAATTGTATAGCAAATACTGAATAAAATGGTAATATTAATTTAATTTATTAAAAATTCTTAACATATTATAAAAAAATTCTCAATAAAATATATTTTAGGTTTATGTCGAACCAGATTTTCCTCAATTTAAAACTATATGCCCCCCAAACCCTCGCGTAGTACAAAAACCATGGACACCTCATGTTCGCAAGAAAAAAATAGCAGCAGAAGTTTCTCCAAAATTTGTGAATTTACAATCCTTTATTGGTAAGCATTATTTTTTAATATTTACAAATATATTTAAATCTATTTCAACACAGGCAGTAGAATTTTGGAGTATTCCACAAAGAAAGCAGCTCCCGCCTATCATATTGGCAGGAAATATAAACAGAAACTAACTATTGGAAACCCTAGTCCTGCTGCGTTTGATTTAACTGGCCTGTCACGTAGAGGTAAAGCGGCATGTAATGCTCCTACAATTCGAGGGTTACCAGAACGTAAGCAAAAACCTGAAACACCTGGACCTTTTACTTATATAGTGGATGATGGTTTCAGTGCAAGAACAATCCCACAATATACTTTCGGCTATAAGCGAAAAATAAAGGAACTTTTTGTTACTCCAGGTAAAACATGGTTCAATGACTAAATATATATATATATATATATATATATTAATCTTTAATCCATAATCCGTAAAAGTAATATAATTAAAAAAATGTTTCTACATTAATTGAAATTTTAGCACGAAATAATACCAGTCTATTTCTATATAGGTCCAGATGTGTTTAAGATTGCATCGCTTTTAGGTGGTAGTTTTGATACGAAAATTAAAAATCCTCCTTCTTTTACAATGAGAGGTCGTGGAAAAGCATTTTTCGATATTGGTTTTAAAACTCCATCCCCAGTTGATTATACTCCAGTTGATCCGAGCAAGAGGAATTATCCAAAATACTCTTTTCGTGATCGCTACCACGAAATTACCACGCAAAAGCACTTTCCGGGTGCTGGCTATTATTGTCCAGAAAGAGTAAGTCATAAAATATGTTATTTAGAAAAATTAACAATATTTTATTTTTAATTTTTATTTAAGGTTAATGTACATAAAACTTCGCCGGCATTTACATTTTTGATGAAACATAGTAAATATCTTGGCGTTCGCAAGGCTCATGAATTCCCTACTTGCATTGAATATTTAGGAAAACCATTTAAATATTATTAAAGCTGCAAAATGAATGAATAAAAAAATAAGTTTAGATACAATCGCTTTATTTATTAATTCCAGTAATTTTTTCAATAAAACATAAACCTTTTTAAAAGCAATAAAAGTTGATTATTTCGTATAATTTTAAATTTAATTACACTTACCATATATACCATATATATGAAATATAGCGATAAGATGATTTTATAGAATTCGATATGATTTTTTATATTCCAAGTTATTCCAGCCCTCTATAAAAGTACATTGGCACTTTTAAATAAAATATTATTAAATTTATCAAATATAACTACCAAATATTTTTTATTTCATATAACAGTAATCGATCACTGTTATATAGTCTTATACGAATAAATCACTGTTACACCAAATCCTTAACTAGCATAATAATTGTTCCGTTATTATACTTTTCGTCATTATATTTTTTACTGTATATAATATTTAATGCTTTTATTCCTAGGTGGTACATAGGGCCGTAACAAATAGTTTCCACTGATCTCTATTTAATGTAAGACGTTTTGTTTCTCTCTCTTTTGTTTCTCTTGTCTTTTCAAGTATTGCTCTTCTACTTCCTTGAGGGTTGAATTCTAAAACTTGCGAAATCATCAGCGGGTTTTTTTAAAGTATGTCTAAGCCATCTGTATTTGCGTGTCGCTCTAAACCAGAGCTTACTATTGGCTATGTTTGCTGGCTAGAATACTTGAAGAATGCGTCGGAGACAGCGTTTGGCAAAGGCTTGCAGATGTTATGCGTCGCTTGCCGATAAGTTCCAACTTTCGCCACCATCTAGTAAAATTGGCTCTACATTTGCGTTGTACCTATAGGCGTATGTTAGTGCGTTGTGAGTTGTTGGATAGCCTTCGCTTTCAATAGCCTGTATTTAATGTCTTGGCGACTGCCACCGTTATTGGAGATGTAGCTTCCCAGGTAGTAGAAACTTTGAACATCTTCGTTGTAAACGCCATCTAGTTGGAAATTCGTTGAGCAGTTTGAATTCAAACCCATAGGCTTGGTTTTGGTGATATTGATTGACAGACCTGGCAGCACGCTTTACGATATTGTTTAGCGATATTTGCATCTGGGCAAAATTATGTGTTACTGTATATTAATTTGATTTAAATACCTATTTTTTATAAATCTACTACACGAAGTTTATGCAAGTCTTTAATTCTATAATCACTTTAACAAGTCAGAAAGCAAATTAATAATATTTTTCAGTTTCGTTTTACTAATTAATTTATTTATTTTATATATTAAGTAAAGCTTGGTAAAGAACTTATCTTTAATTAAAAACAACCAAACAATAGCATCAACTTTATTATTTAATTTAATTATTAATTAATTAAAAACAAAAAAAAAATGAAAAAGTTAAATAGAATTAAATATGCTCTAAACTCATAATAAAAAACTTATTCGTTGTGAATAAAATAGTTTTGTACAAAAAGAACAACTAAAGCTACGTAACAATAATTATGTTAGTTAATGGTATTTATATAGCGGTGTTTTATGCGTTAGTTTGAGTAATGTCACAAGCAAGTATTGTTTTCGGTTTAAAAACAAAAAAGTTAAAAAAAGTAAGGTAGAAAAATATTTCAAATTTAAACTACAGACGTTATCTAAATATATTAAAGCATAGGGTCTACGTTCGAATCCTATGATACAATTCTACATTCTTGATTCTTTCTATAAATTTATTTAATATTGTAAAATAAATTAGTAAAAAGAAATAAATTTATTATTATTTATTATTATTATATATAATAACGCTACCCATAATAAAGCCTTTATTGATAACATTTACGAATATTTAATATTTAAATAAATTTATATATAAAATGTACGAACTTTTAAAATTAGAAGTTGCCCTTAGAAATCTGCAACCATATTACCGCGAAAATATTTATCAATCTTCTGACTAGCTATAAACCTATGCTTTTAGGTTTGACTTTGACTAACTATCTTATATTTGCAATAACAATAATATTGTATAAAATAGCATATTTTTAGTCAAAAAGTTTTAAATTTGTAATACTACTTTTAAATTAAAATTGCATTATTCCTTACATTGTTCTAAATTGCACTATTTAAGTGATATATGTATATCAAAACTCATCCATAGCATTATATGTTAACTTTAAGATTTGTGCTATTTTGCGATATGAATCTTTTGACAAGTGCTCAATAAATTTAAATGATGAAATCTTACTATATATGATCAGGTACATTTTGCGTTAGTGGTTTTGTTAAGAATTAAATATGTCTCACCTGAGACTGTGATAATCCACAATTAACAGCCAAAAGACCATTGCATCCACAAAAAGTTTTAATGGATCCGTACTTTCTTGCAAACAATAAAGGTGTCACACAAACCATTAATTCAAATAGCTATATTCAATTCGTTTTGATTACTAATTTTTTGTATGTGAAATTGATGATTTAAATATGGAAGATAAGTGGTTTTAACTGAATGATATCACAATGTTCACAACACGTATTGCTTTGGCTTCGTTACTCAAGAAATTTTTCAGACAAATGATTTCACCCTTAGGTGATGTGAATTCTCCACCACTTACTTTTTCTTGTGAGTCTCCGTAAGAGGACGGGCTTATGCGGATAATGGTGATACATTGATAACGAATATCAATGAAGCTATGGTCGTGCTGTTACAGCTCATATACCGACAATTTATCGAAAACTGTCTCAATAATCTATACAGGATTCAGTATTGTGAAAAGGTTCTTGGTAAATATTTCAATGAAATTATATGTGTTGTACACACCATAGCAAGATCCAAAAAATATACTCAAAATAAAGACTTGATCGAAATGACAATTACAATTATGTAATATTAATTTTTATTATAATATTTCAGTCTCTCACAATGAATATCATTGTATAAGATGCTATCTTCTGTACAATACGTTTTGGTTATTAAATAAAATTGATTTTTACTAACAAAACCTTACTCACTTATGTGGCCATAATAACACGTTATCGGGTTTCGTACATCAATCTCGGTTTGTGCTCCCTCAACTTGATCACTCCAATGGAAACACGGTCTACCTCTACGCTTTTTTCCTCCAACTACTGCTTCAAGTATCTTTTTCGCTGGAACATCGTCATTCACTCTCACGACATGACCAAGCCAGCGAAGCCGCTGATGTTAATTCGCTGTATTATATTAATGTAGTGATAAAGCTCATACTGTTCGTGATTCATTCGTATGCGATAGTCGCCCCAACTAGTAACGGACCATAGATCTTACGAAGAATACTAACAAAATCAAGATTATATTTTATTTGATTTTATAAAATTGCTTTTTTTTCTAAAACTATTAAAATAAATAAAGTAATAGTTGTTATACCAATGATAATATTAGGTATTCTTCACAATGGAATCTTATCGCGAATCGAGATATACCAAAGATCATAATTTTCAGAAATTTTCTAAATTAAGTCTTGTCGAAAAAGTTTAGAAAAAGCCAGGTAGAAACAGTCAATGAATATAAATACCTTGGGATATTAATTACGTATAACCTTTTATAACCTTATAACGTATAAGCTTCCAATAGATGATAGCACAATTATATTCACGTGGGTGAAGTACTTTTCTAATCCTTAGACAACTCTTGCAAATAAACCAAAAATGTTCTACACAGCAACAAGTTCAATCGTACTCTACCATGATCAAGTTTGGGATTACAAACATTATGAAACAGTGGAAAAATTCTAGATTTTTTATAAAAAAGATTTCATTTCCAACCACAAACATCCCAATCTATATGCTCCACTTAAAAACGGGTTTACCAGCGTAATTCATAGATTCAGTGTAAACGAAATGTGTAAGAAAAAATGTAAGAATAATTCTTAATATCCCCTCCACAAGGTTTTCTCGAATACTACCTGAACTTAAGATTGACAAAGGCATATATTGCACCAAAGAAAGGGAAAATATGTGTTTAGAACTGGGTCTTTCGTTAACCAGTATTCATAGTATGAATCTTAAATTTTTACACAATAATATTAAAAATTTATACAAACGTAGAGAACATGAATTCTTTGTCGCGAATGCTAGATCGGGGTCTCATGACATGTACCCATAGCTGCAGCACATATCGAGTGTACTTTTTAAATGTTGAGACGATCATTTTAAATTAAATGTCAGAGAATTTAATAAACGTAATAATATCAAAACGTTATTTCTATAATTGTCATGAAATAGACAACATATATCACATTATTAATGTATGCCCCATTTTTAAAGAACATAGATGTATTTTTTGATATAGCACTGCTGTCTTCTGAAAAGTGTTTTAGGTTACAGAATATTAATTATAGAATAATAAATATAAATAATAATGTTAATTATATGCACCACTTTTTGTATGCCAATCTGACACACAACATGTATGTTATTGTCAACTTAGATTTTAAGTAAAATTCTATAAGTTTTTGTAAGTGCTGTACGCATTTCTGGGAATCTATAAATAATATAATAAAATAAATAATAAAATAATAATTGTTAATATTCGCACGTAAAAATTAATTTGGAACAAAAGTGACTTACAGTAAAAAAATCTTATATTTTTATTTTTAAATCTTTAATTTTTATATTTTATTAAAAATATTTTCTGCATATTTGACTTTACGTCAAATTTTATTGAAATCAGTTTCGTTGAGTGTATTCAAAACGGTACTAAAGTAACTTATCAATATCTTTCTTATCTATGTATGAATAAAAACAAAACATTCTGTGATGAAAACCATTACCTCTCCCTACAAAGCCTGAAATCGAAGATTGGTGAACTATTTTTTACACTGATATTGTTCGAATGCTACTCAGTGGGAAAGTCTCAACAAGAAACAATTATCGATAACTTTGATACGAATGAGAACGAGTACCCAAGTATTTATGGAAGTATATTGTTATTAATACTATCGTTTATTTTTACTTACTATCTTACAATACTATTAATATGATAAGAAGTATAATCAACCCAATTTCTTTGCTCGTTACATTTAAAACTAAGACGATTAAATATATAATATTAAATAGCTGGAATTAGTGTGTTATTGGCATTGACACAGTTCAGTTCTTTCCTTGCAGTAAAATGTATTTTCAAACAATTCACACATTGTTTATAGTGATTTTATTATTACCAAACATTCGCACTGCAAATATATTAGGTTTCTTTCCAGCTCCAATAAAATCACATTTGCTTATACACTGTGCTATTGCCGAGACATTGGCGGAAAGAGGCCACAATGTAACAGTAGTCGCCACCTTACCCAATGTACACAAAAATTCAAAAATCAACTATATTCATATCGATATATCAGTGAATGAAGCAGTTTTAAGTGATATGATTAACCAATCCAAATCTAACTTGCACAAGATGACTTCCTGGATGGATGAAAATATACAGCAGTGTGAATCATTAATAACACATCATAAACTACAACAATTCCTCAACAATCATAACTCAACATTTTTTGATTTGGTGATATTTGGCTATCGATTAAATGATGTTTTACTGGGCGTTGCTGCTCACTTTAAATGCCCAATTATAATATCAACAGTTGTACAGCCTATATTTCCACTTCAATCTATGATTGGCAACCCACATGAGATTTCATATGTGCCATCATTTTTTACTGGCCTATCACAGCCCATGAGTTTCAAAGCACGTTTAAGAAATTTTTATGCATCGACGTTTGGTCATACCCTTATGAATTATGCGCTAGAGACCCGTTTTGAAAAATTTTACAGGTAACAATTTTATATTTCGTATAATAATTTAATTGTTAATTTTCTTCTTTTTTATTATATATAGATTGCATTTTCCTGCACACCAACATCCATCATTAAATGATATAAGAAAAAATATATCTCTTTTATTTACCAATCATCACTTTAGTCAGGGACCAATAAGACCAAATGTACCGGCTGTAATTGAAATTGGTGGTATACAAATAAAAGAAAAACCAAATCCGCTACCTGTTGATATAAAAGATATTTTAGATAATAGTGAAAATGGAGTAATATATTTTTGTCTTGGTTCAAATGTGAAACCTTCACATGTTACTGAAAATACTGCAAAAATCATGTTCGGAGTACTCTCCCACTTACATTATGATGTTTTGTGGAAGTGGGAAAATGCCAAAGTACCTGGTATTGCGAAAAATATTTACTTTAGTAGTTGGTTACCTCAAGACGATATATTAGCTCATCCCAATGTTAAACTATTTATAACACATGCTGGTCAAGGAAGTATTGCGGAATCATTGTATCATGGAGTACCTATGATTTGCATACCATTTTTTGGTGATCAACTACAAAATGCTCGTTATGTTAAACGTTCTGGATATGGTTTATATATGGATCATACAAACATTACATCGAATGATTTCAAGAATACAATAACAGAAGTAGTTTTGAATTCGAAATATATTGAAGCTGTCAAACGTTTCTCTGTGCTTTATCGCGACAGACCTATGACACCACGTCAGACAGCAGTTTACTGGGTAGAATATGTACTGCGACATAAGGGAGCTACACATTTACAATCCCCTGCAGTACATTCAAATGTTTGGCAACTGCTCTCGTTAGATGTTATATTATTTTTATTATTGATTTTAATTTTAATAAGCATAGTAATTGTTAAGCTGGTTAAATTAGTTATAAACAAATTAAAGAAGAAGAAACTTAAATTAGACTAACTTAAAAATTAATTTATTTATGTTTTATATTATGCAATAGTCATATAGGTATATTTATTTGCATTTAATAAATATAAATAGTTTTTATTTTAATAAATCATTTCATAAATATGTAATAAATCATAAATCTTTATTAGATTTTTTATATGATATAAACAAAGTGCTTTGTGTTATACTTTGACAGGTGTTTCATTGGTACAAAAAAGAAAAATATAGTGTCGGGAGTCCGTATTCAATATTCATTGAAATAGAAGATTTAAAAGACAGGCATAATCGAAAAGGGTCAAAATATCTCCAAAACTTACTAATAAATGGAACATTTAAGTTGTAAGCATTTTAAGGTCATTCTTCTAAAATGAGTTCAGAAATAATTATGATTAAAAGTTGATGTCTTGAGAATTTTCTATCAGTCTATCAGTCGACCTCATTCATTTAAAAATTTTTATGCTTGCTTTATTTATTTTTTCCACAGAAATACTTTATTATTTTGTAAATATTATTTGTAAAAATATATTCCAAATTATGGTTTTGTTAAGCTTGAAATAAAAGTGCAATCATTTTGACTATTCAATGATGTTTCAGTTTAAATAAAATATAAAAAAAGCCAACTTTTTTCAAGAATTAATAAAATAAAAATTTATAATACTAAATCAACTCCGAATACACTTCCATAGACCATAGAACTGTCAAAATACCGGACTGAAAGAAATAAAAGAACTGTGAAGAAAGCAAAGACTGTACGGTCAAATGGTTATTGATTACCTGGTTACTTTTTTTAATGGTAGATTTTTTAAATATCTTAAGAGAGTAATTGGAGCACTGTATACATTATTTTTCGAAAAATAGAATATTATAATTACCGGAAAAATGTCACTATTAACCCTCACTTTGACATATAGAATAAAATACATGAACAACATTTAAAATTCTTTGACTATCTATTTTTTTTTTTTCTATTTTTTCTATCTATTCACCTGATATAGCACAGATTAGCTCTACCTTGTTTTTAAAGTTGATAGTTTGTAGCGTAGAAGATGACGTATTATCAAATTAAGGATTCATATCCATCTAGTAAAAATTAGTAGAAAATGTATCAAGGCAAAATGCTATTGTGTTTAAATTAAATATAAAGTTTAACAGTATTACCCTCTACATTGAACACAAATTCTTCTGTAATACTCTGTGATAAGAACTAGAAAAACAGATAATAAGAATAGACCAATTTGCTCTAAAACTTTGTACAGTTAAGTTGGAACATTTTACTACGCACACTGTATTCTCCAAATTAGCGAGATTATTATTATTTCAAATTATTAGATTGTTTCAGATTATTGTTGTCTATAAAAATTTTTAGAATCTTCAAACGAAGACGTCAAAATAAATAGGTGTTCGCAAAAATTGAAAATGTTTAATTCAATATATAAGAAATATAAGAAATTATCTATTTTTTGAAAAGGCTTATTTAAATAAGCTTGGAAATTAGTTTTTATTTTTATATAGTTCTCTATATAAATATCGCTGACGTTTTAAACTTTGTTTGATGCCTTCCTCTGGGTGGAGTATTATTACAATTGTTCTTGGAAAGATATAAGACGGTTTTTTATACTGAAATCTGTTCACAAATTGCGTCAAGAATAATTAAAATTATCGTATGAATGTCGACTAAAAATCAAAAAAAAGAAATGTATTCATAAATGAGAATTTTTCCTATCAATATTTATTATTATATCATTTCCTAAAAAAAAGTAAAATATCATTAAATCGAGAAACTAATTTCAAGTGCTGTTATCATATTTAGGGAGAGCGATCATCACCCAATGAGCTCTAATTTCATTATTACTTCGATGTTACTCCAATATTACTTCGAGCACACTTTTAGGAGAAAACATCGCCCTACATGTTCTTCCTAATGGTGTCAATAAATATTGGCGCTTAGTGATTTTTTCTTTAACAAAATTATTATTATTTCTCAAAATAAGAATATATTTCTCAAGAAATTTTATATACCACAATAGGTATTTTTTTCATTATCACATCAAAAACAAATAACTTTAACAATTAAAAGCAAACTTTCGAGTTGAAATGTATCTAAACCTTAATTAAGTTTTCCTTTGCCTTTGAGTTTTGTACGAATAACAAATGTTTATTGTACGTTGTTCCAGAAGATAAATTTTTTGCAGTGCTTTGCGGTTGGTAAGACACTTGATTTCCATTGTCCTTTGCATTTTCAGAGTGCAATGTTGACACCAAAAACATTTTGAAATTTACCGTAATCCTATGATTCTAATATCCCAGCGATGCAATGCAAAGTGCAGAGAATGGCCTCCGTTTTACTGGGTTAAGTGGCAATCCTTTGAATTCTGATTTTATTGTTGTTTTTAAAGTTCTTTTAGTTAAAATTTTTAAGAGAAAAATTCAGTACCCACTGCCTAGTGAGCAGAAAAAAATTTTAATTCGCTTCTAGGACTTCAACAATTTAATTCCATGGGTCATAATTTTTTCTTGAAATTGCTTTAGAGTCAAAAACGATAATTAACGTTTTTTAAAAAAGATTGGTTAATTATATTTTATATCAAAGCATATCGTTAAGAAACTTGTTAAGAGGTAATACCATACTAAATATAAAATACTTTTTATTTCAATTAATTTTAGTATTCCCTTTTTGTTTTTGCTATATGCTATATCTTCCTATTACAATAAACTTATTTAATGTCAAGAAAGTATTTCGGAAAAGGAAAAATGTAGGAACGATGCTTATATTCAGATACGACTCACATCTTCCTTCCCACATTTTATCCTAAATTTGACTTAATGTGCTCACAACATTTTAGATTACGCATAACATTTAAGATTAATCAAATATAGTTCCATAAAAACTTTAAGCCAAACTTCACCTATAAACGATTAATACTCGTAGTAAGTAAATGGTGCACACTGTATCACTCACTGTTAAAGTTCACTGGATCTTTCGCTAAAATAATATTTTATACGATATCACTTTTTATAAATTTGTTTAAAAATAGAACAAAAAGTAAATATTAAACTCAATTTTCAGTTGGATAAGTAGGGACCTATCAAAACATATGTACGGGACCGAATGTATGTGTTGCGTACAGACTTTCCATTGATTTTGTCGAATTATGGTTGCGAATTCTATGAGGACCTTGAAGACGACGACCGAGTACTGTTACCAAAACCCACAAAATTTTATTTAAATAATCAGTTTATAATGTCTAAAAGATTGTAATCGATTAAATTGATTTATTGACTGTAATATTTTGGCCAAACTTTATTTGAAACTTTCTTTAGACAATTCTAAGACTAGCCGGGATTATTGACTGGTTACTGTAGATTGAATAATCATCTAACGAAATGAGAAAGTCAATCCAACTCAGACTGCAGATACTGCAGATGAATACCATGTACTTGTGGAATGCTCGGCACTAATGCGCAAGCGGAAGGAACACTTAAAAGGGTATTTCATGGATCATAAGCATTCAGGACTAGAAAAGAAAGGTTCTATACTTTTTTTCATTAAAGAAAGTGGACTTGGAAAAATACTCTAATCCGACTAAGGGGAAAAATGGGTCTTTTAGGTCGCAATGCACTACCCCTTTTCAAATAATAATAAGACTAGCCGATTCGGTTGCTGGGTGCCGATTCTATGATGAATGTAATAGTCCATTAAATACAGATTACATATATACATTACAATTGTTCTACTTTTCATACTATTTGCAATTATATCTTTTAAATATTTAACCTTTAAACTTTTAAAAAATATTACTATTAAAAATAAATGTTTCAGACATAAATATATTTAATTTCTTACTGATGCATACTTTATGTATTAAATACTCATTGCCATAACGTAATATTAACAATTAACAATAACAATAATTTAAAATTAAACTTAATTTCCTCTCAATAAATTAATGTAAACAGCTTTTGGAGAAACATTTATGTAGTTTCACAATTAAACATTTTATTAAAGGAATTAATACTCTAACTTAACAAAAAAATACATAATTAATGGCTATTTATTATGTACAAAATTATTCAAGTTCCGTAAAGAAAGTATTTCCCAATTCAAATTCATCATTTTCTAATGCATCATCTTGCATTTCTTTACTAAATTCATTGAAAAACTTTCCATTTGTGTCTGCATTCCAAGTGTCATTATTTAAGCTATCCTCTCCGATTTGCACCATATGTACATGTTCATATGTACAATCAGTGTAATCGAAGTTATCTGCATCTGAAGCCACCAGTGGACTTAATAATAAAAGGTATTCGTGAAAATTGCCCAACAGCCGGTACTGCGGCCAGAAGAGACCTATTGTACCAGTTTCACTATTGATTAAACAAAGCCCCTTAAAGCTTTGTGAATAAAGTCTAGAACTAAATCTAGAGAAGAGTTCTTAATCTGTTCTGGTGACAGAAATTCCTTATGAAACAGGTTTCTTCTGTGCGTTATTAAAGCTGGACAGTCACAAAGAATGTGCATGGTTGTTTCCTCATCTTCGAGGCATAATCTGCATTCAGAGTTAGCAGATAATTGTAGTTTATGAAGGTGATATTTCAGACCATAATGACCTGTAATGAAACCCGTTATCATCCTTAAATTACATTTTGAGAATTTAAGAATGTTTTTGTAGGAGTAAGGTGTTATCAGTGCTTTGCTTTGTCTGAGTCCTGGAAAGTTTACCCAGTACTCTAGCCGCATATGATTTTCCATTTCCTTGATAATCTGTTTTGTACTAGCCCAGTTTATTCCACAAAAGGGTTGAGGGCCTATAAAAGCAGTTTCTGATGCAGTTCTGGCAAGCTCATCAGCTTTTTCATTTCCCAAAACTCCTCTGTGGCCCGGAACCCAGTAAAGGTTTACCTTATTCCGAGCTGCAAGTGATTGCAGAAGATCGTAACACTCAAGGACCTGTTTTGATTTGAAAGTCCAAGAAGAAAGAGCTTTAAGAGCAGCCTGGCTGTCAGAGTAAATAACAATTTTCGAGCCAGAAGGTTTTTTGATTAAATTGGATCTTACGCATAAGTTGATTGCGTGGATTTCACCAGTGGACTTAAATCATATCGCTCTTTAAAGAAATCCAAAATTTGTTGCTTGAAGACGATTTGCCATCACCACAACCCACAAAATAGTATTTAAATCAGTGATTCTCATCCGGTGGTCCATAAAATGGTTAAAAATGGTCCATTAATGAAATTTAACAGGTATAGATACATAGATTGTAGTTTGTTCTCTGAAACCTCACTTATTAAGCACAAAAAATTTCCAAGTAAATTATATACTTATTTTATAGCCTATGCACTGGTACAATTTATAATAAATTAAGCCAGAGATGCATAAAGCATATTAAAATAATCATACAGTTCATTATTTTTAAACTTTGTGGTCCCTTATAATAACAAAAATATAGTAGCAGTCCATCAAAAAAAAAAGGTTGGCAACCACTGATTTAAATAATCAATCTTCGGATTTACTATGTGTGATTGCTTAAAAAAGGTTGTAATCGGTTTCCTCACTGTAATATTGTGACTAAACTTTGTCTGAAACTATTTTCTATGAATAGCATATCTAAAAGTCTTATATATCAAAACTACAAATTAATTATAAAGAGTATTTAAAAAAACTAATATGCTAATTCTACGAGTATCTAACATTTTACAGAAACAAAATATAAAGAAAGTACGATTAACTCGTCTCGTTAAGCTGTGGACAAAACTTAAAAAAAGAAAAATTTTCTCACAATTATACAAAGTTTATAAAAAAAAGATATTGTAGTTCCGTTAATAATAAAAAACAGGTTTTTAGTCTTCAGTACAAATCTTGTATTTGTTTAATAATTTTGAATGAAAACACTTTAGCCACAATTTAGAAAATAGAAATTAGTAACCTATTTATTTGAAGAATTTTTTAATTAAAAAGAAATAATTATTTATTAATAAATATATTTATTTTTAATAAAGACATCATTTACTCTTCTTTCTCAATAGGGAACACATTCCTACTTAAAAATATAATATCCCATGCTTATCAGTATATAACCTACATTATGTTTTATTAAACTACAGAAATTAAATTTTAGAAGATCACATATCTTAAAATCAGCTAAAACTAATCCCATATCTAATTATGAAAAATCTAAATTAAAGAGGTCATCAAACTAAAGGAAATACAGCAATGATCAAATTTATGATACTTTGTTAAAATAAAGATTCACTGTCACATATAGTATAGCAAGTACTTCTAATTACTACCAGATCTTGATATTATGCCACCAAAGCCTCGTAGAAATATTAACAATATTAATTGGATGTCTCATAATTTCTACAAGAAATTTTAATGGGTAATACAAGACTTTATATAGACAATATATAGACAATGCTATATATTGTGCATTTTTTACTGATTCATAAAGGATGCAGTAAAGGATTATATATAGCGTAGCACGTATGGTAATCAGACTATACGGTTTTGCTGACATACTATATGACTACATTTTTATCAAAATTTTCTATGATCGCTTTACAAAGCCCAATTGCAGTTTAAATTGAATTCATACTGATACACCTCTGTCAAGACGTGGGTTGTCATGAACTTCTTAGTATAAACTATTGACTTAAGAAAACAAATTACATAATATTTAACATAATATTTACATAATATTTAACGACACAGAATGTTGCAGAATTAAAAATATACGATCAAAACTATGGTATTTTCTGAACCAGTCGAGATATTAAAATGAATTTTTCCTTAAAGTCTAAAAAGTTTTGTGACATTTTACCCACCACAAAGGTATTTAATTCCTGATTTAGAAAATAACGAATTTTGATTGCCTACTTTTAATTTTTTCACTTTGTCCGGGTAAACTTAGTCTGCATTCTTCTGTCTTACGGTTTCTTGCGAGGATGTAGTGACAAAACGTGGAAAAAACGTAAACTGAGGTACATAGAAAGTTGTATGATGGATTGCCACTACAACCAACCAACCAACCAATCAATGTTAATTATTTGTGATCAATTAGGTATTGGTGTGCAAACCCACCACTTCAATTTTACATAACCTAACATATCATGACACGTATCACTATTCAAATAAAACAATCCTGATGATGACTCTCAAGGAGAGTCGAAATGTAGATTATAATAAAAAATGTTAAACCTAGAATTATTTAATAAGAAGGGACCTACAGCCAGATCGAAAAATAAATTTAAATAATTTTATAAATTATTTACTTTTAATAACCTTTACTTGTAATCACCAACACACCTTCTGTTACAGTGTCCTGCCTTCGCAAGACATAAACTATCCTACTTAGGGTCGCACTTTTTCTATTCACTAAGAGAGCTAGATTCTATTTCTATAGCTCGTGTCAATGGCTTTGTAGCCAATACCAAGTGGTTATAGGGACGCGTGTCAAATTCTTTAGGGTATCACAATGGACCTCATGGTCTAAGTGAGTCTTCGGACGGCCCCAGTAACCTAACCTAACCTAACCTACTTTTAATAATCAATAATTGACGTAGCTTCAAATTATCTTAAAAGCAATCTTTAACTTAATCATTTATTGCTTTGAATACACTTCTTTCTACTGTCAGTAATGTTTATCTTTTCTATTGAAACTTAAATACCATATCTTTAGTTTTCATAAATCGATTGCATAAATCATAAAAGAGCCGTCTTTCTCAATGCACTACAAACTAAGCCAGAATAACTACTCAGTATTATCATTTTCACGTTTTAGGTAAGCCCATACCTATATAACTATTGTAGCTGTTAAATACATTTCTTCTGTGCCGTTTATGGCAGTGACGCCGCCAAACAATAAACAACTTCAGCGACTACAACAAATGCAGACTCATTGAGAGCATAGTCAGCGCAAGCAAAAACAAAGCAACAAGTCACCTTTAAGCCACACTCTGGAGTCTTTATTCGCTCTCTCATTGTCTTCCTATTAGCTCTGGAATTCTTGGCTAACTCCACCGCATTGCAAGACAATAACAAATGAAAACAGCTGCTTGCCCATGTTAAAGGCAAGACACAAACAAAACTTGTATCTTTTATATTTATAACTCTGCTCTTTTACGAGCAGTTAAAAAGATACATTTGCGGTACATTTACCTTTTGCTTTGCATTCATATCTGGCGGTTTGAAGTGTTTGGCTTCTTCTCGACTTGTTCGTTTGCTCTTTGCTAGTTGAAATTTTTCTTTTACGCGTGCGCGACGTCATCACTTTGAATTGGAATTGTACTTAGAGTTTTTGTTTATGGTTAAAAATAAATCGGCAGTTTTCATTCAATACTTCTTTCATTCTTTCATACTGACCTTCACATAGATACGTCTAAGAGGATTATATATAAAAAGTTTATTCTCATTTAATGAATTGTCTAAGTCATCGTAAACTACAATGGCAACGTTGGCGTTAGGCGCCTCTGCAGATACTCTGTGTCGAATCAAGTGCGGTGAAATTTTTACTTACGATACACAATACGAGGAATTTCACGTTGAATGTGTATTCTGTGAAGATAGACCGGTTTGTAAATTATATGAGTTTATTACGCATATGCAAACCTGGCACACCAATTGGGAAGAAACCGACGAATCCTTAGCTGCAGAAATGATAGAAAACGTAGATGAATTAGAGCAACAAGATTTGTGTATTGCAGAATATTTGGATTACACAGAAGAGGATATTTTGAGAGAACAAATTTATTTAAGCTCTGTTAGTTATACAAAAACAAGATAACTAATATTTAAATTAATTCATTTAAATTGACTTATTTAAATTACAGAATAATAGTGTAACAACATCAGAAGAATCACTGCCGCTACCTTTCGAACAAGTGCTTATCGAAAATGAGTCGGAAGCTTCGATGTCAGAAGTAGACATTGATTTTGATACTGCTAGCATTTCCACAAACTCCATAAATGATCATACTGATTTGGATTTAAATAGACAAACTACTGATAATATCTTAGATGTAAAAGAAAGCAAAAGTTATCACTTAAATATATAAAAGCTAATAAGAGTATTTTTACAGAAACAAAGTACAGAAACAAAACTTCAAAGAAAGCATTTACAAAAACTTATTGAATTATATAAAATGCAATCACGTTTATGGGATCAAACCCATCCCGAATTTAGTGAAACACGGCTTTGTCGAAAATCCTGGCATCATATCACTAATCAGTTTAATAAGTTTTGTAAAAGAAATTTTAATTTATATGAGGTCAGGATACGTATGGCCACACTTTGTTCCAGATTTTTGAAAGAACGTGAAAAAATGGACCAAGACAAGAAGAGAACATCAAAATTCGCTTATTTTGAGGAATTAAAATTTTTAGATAAACATGTAAGTTTGTTGCAAATAAAATTTGATAAAAAGGTTTTTCTAGCAATAGTAAATTGTAACAACAATATTTTATTATTTTTAATTAATTAAATTTTTAACTGACCATCAGCGGTCTTTTGAAATGATTTCGTACATTTAATTATACGTAAATAATTTTATGAGCCTGCAAGTACCAACGGTTGAATTTGTACCCTGCCAAATTTGAATTTAAAATTTTAATCAAATAAAAAAAAAAATTAAAAAAATAATCAACATCCATATATCATTACTTGGTTCACAGCAAATTCTTAAAAATCGTCGCCTCATATTTGATCAGCAGAACGAAAAATTATTGGAAATATATGAGCATTATCCAATACTTTGGCATAGAACAAAAAGACATATAAAGCAGCCAGAAAAACGTGATGAAGCGCTACAAAGTATAAGCTCCGCTCTTAAACTTACTGGTAAGTAAATGAAATCTGGAAAAATATGTAGAAATATTATTGAAAATTTGGGAGCAGTGTGAAGTATTCCAAAATATATAGTATCAACAAAATATTAATAGAAGTAGATAACACTAAAGTTCTTTTTGACAGGGCAAGGAAATGATTTTTAATACCAATAAAAATATTACCACAAAATGTGATGACTCACCACTTTAAACTAAAATGCAATTCAATGTTTCACGTACTCGATCCATTCACTTCTTTTCTTCTTTAACAAAAGTCTTCATCAATGTATTTTGCGCTTATGTTAATAAGTTTTGAATCCATAACCAATTTCTCTTAAATCATATAAGCTTCGTCATATATAAGTGTTTCGTCCACGGGAATCTATCTACTTCTTCAATATGTGTAGGATATACAATTTACTTCATTTTACGATTAGCTGTAAAAATTGAAAAATAATTGATCCTGCTTTAAACTCGTGCCATACTGCTCTATACTACTTGATTAATTCTATATATTCTAATTTCAATGATGCCACATCTACTTTGTCTGGCGTTCATTAATATACAACCATATTTGTGCTAACTTCGTACTCTGAACGAACTATATTCATAGAACCGGTTCTGATATCTCATTATATTACCATTATCTTTATTTAATTTCTAGTTGACTTAACGAAAATCGTTCTTGTCTTTAAACTAGCAGAATTACTAATTATTTTTCCTAACACCAATTTAAACAGTATGCCACCCAGACCCTTTCCTTGTCAGAATCTGTTAAAGATATTGATTGATTTGTATGATTGGTAATTGGATGCATTGGAATGAAAATTAATCAAATCATCAAAATGTATATGCGTATATATAAACATAGGAATATCTTTAAAATATATATATAAATAATAAACGTCTTATTATTTTTTTAGGAGTTCATTTATCACCATTCGCAATACAAACACGTCTTCAGACAATCCGTAAATGCTACCGCATCGAAAAAATACGTTTCTTAAATTGCAAGGTTCAACAAAGAAAATTCCTAAAACAATTTAAACATTTCGAACAAATGCAGTTCTTGGATAAGCATATAGATCCGTATGTCTGTGAGGTTTGTGGTAAAATATTTGCAAATCTCTCAAAATTTCAGGAACATATAAACAACGAGGTTCACATGGACAGCATAGAAAATGATGTGAATGAAAGGAACAATAACAATGAAATATTAGATACATCGGTTTTAAGACAGGATTTAAATTCAATTATTAAAAATGATATAATGGAAGACAAAAAAGATATGAATCAGAAACAAACTGTTTACAATAATTCAATTAACCAGGTAAATATTATAACAGTACATATAATTAAAAAAATTAAACTTTTATGAATTAGTCTACCGACCAAATACTGGACAATGAGTTATTAATTCACGAAATGTATGAAGGTATAAGGGGTAGTAAGGAGTCATGTCATGGATATCAGCATGAGACGGAATATGTAATTTATTTTTTAATAAAAATTTAAATAAAAATAATGATTTTATAATATATATAAATTCTTACAGACGCTAAATGATTCAGACAGCTTGAAGAACGGATCTATAGTACAAATACAAAACACAAATATAGGTTTAGAGAAATTGCTTGAGGATATTATGAGAGAGCAGACATTACTTGAAAATACTAAATTAAATGTTACAGAAAATAATACTGTAAGTAAGAAATATTACAATCTACAACACATCATTCAAGTCGAGTACTTATTTGATATTTATTTCAAGAAATCTTTTCATTGATTTTATAAAAAATATAAACCCTTGTATACAAACCTTTATATGACTGAATGTTTCATCCTTTTTTTAAAGATTAGTGAATCCGTCTGCAACAACACTGAAAATATATATAACAATCAAATGGAATCCTTAAATATAAAAAAATCTACTGATCATATAATACAAAACGTAATTCAGACTACATCTGCTTTTAATGACTCACAATATAAGGAATCTGTTTCACCGATAATATTTTTGGTAAAAAATACATAACAATACTATTCTTGAAAATGTTTGTACTAATTAGTATATAATTTTATAAGGTAACTCAGAACAATCTCAATAATGCTACAGAACAACTTATAGAAGATACACAGCTGCTTTCTAATATAGAAAATAGAGCGATCAATGAAATTGTAAACTTACAACAAGAACATGGCTCTACAAGTACGGAAAACAGTAACAAAGAATTAAAAGAACGGGATTTACTATTGGTATGTCCACTAAAAAATGTTATACTAAACATTTAATGTATTTAAACTAAACATTTAATGTATAAACTAGTTTTAAAATGAAGTATATAGATATGTGATTATCTTTCAAGTGAAAATATTCGCGATAGATAGGTGCGCCAGTTTTAACTTTGAACACAACTACCGGAACCGTAAAATTGCAATACTAACTGACAGTCAGGCAGCTATAATGGCACTCATGTCCTATAAAGTGACATCTAAACTAGTATGGAAGTACGTTGATAATTTGAACATACTTGGTTGGAGTAGTCAGTTGCCTTAATTTGGATTCCGGTAATCAAGGCAAAGAAATGGCAGACAAACTTGCAAGAGAGGCGTGGCTCCAATAATGATAGGCCCAAAACGTTTCTGCGGTCTAGGCAAAGCAACTCTATCCCCTTTCTTCTTAACGGCGCTGAGGAAAAGTAAAAAGAACTCTATTGTGATAGACTAACTCAATCCAACTCAGTTGGAACTCAATCCAACTCAGACAAAAGATAGTATAGAGAAGGAAGAAAAACCGCATACCATGTGCTAGGGAAGTGCCCGACACTAATATACAACCAGAAGAAACATCTAGGAGGGTATATCATGCAACATAAAAACTCAAAACTTGAAAAGACAGGCTCTATAATGTCTTTCATTAAACAGAAATTGGACTTTTACTAACTCTTTTTCATAATAATGTAGATATATGTACTATCATTCTATCAAATACTAAATTATATGTCTAAATAACGTGAAAAATAATTAACAATATTCATTTTCCAGAAAACTCCATCAAATATAGATGAAAACAGTTCGAATTTCGAACTTCGCGATGAAGAATTAAGTTCAACTACGTCAGAAACTGAATATGTAAGTGCATACTCCTAATAGTCATTAAAAACCAAAACAAAATCATTCCTTTAAAAAAAAATTAATTAAATAAATTTTTTGCAATATTTAAAATAGTAATATATATCAAATTCAAAATTATGATACAAATAAATAATGTAATTGATATAAATATTGTGTTTCACACAATATTACGCATATATGAAAAAGTAATAATAGATTAGTAACCAATGCGGAATGAAGCTACAGTTGCTAGCTGCTATATTCTATATATGGAATTATTGGACTGTAATAAGAGTCGTCACCTACTTTACCGAACGCCTATTGATTAAACTTACGTTGGACATATATACCTTTTAAGAGAAATTAAGAATCAATTGCTACCAATCTTAGTACCTGTTTTAAGTCAAATGTGTTTCTCATATTTCATGGACCAATGTATTTTACCAAGAAGTAAATAATAAAAATTGTTCAAAAGAAGACGATGTCCGACAAATCTAATGACACCTTATATTAATATGCAATTGTACTGAAGACGATACAAAACCAAATTTGTGGCATTCAATAGTCAAAGTTATGAGAATTAGTTTATTATTATTACATCGTTTCAGAATTATAATTCTTAGAAACTTTAAATTTTTTGTTCTGTAAATAAGCCAACTACACTATGCAAATTAGTTCAATATTAATGTAAGACTTCATTTGCTTGCGATTTGCATTACAATTCTATCCGTTTCTAATAGCGAAATATAAATATATGTTACTAGACAATATAATTTGAGTAATTGATATTTTCAGTATTATAAAATGGTCCAAAATTTAAAATTACGATAATCAGTATTTTACTGATTGTGAAAATTGTGTTAAATATTAGACGATCTTGGCATATTCAAAAACTATCTTATTATATATGCAGAAGTTATTTAGTAATTATGGTGCAATTAGCAGGCCGGTAATGACCTTGGTTGCAGAATGAAATCAGAGGGATAATGTTTTGAACTTCATTAAAAAAGTGGCTAAAAAATTGAGGTGCTGCTTTGTCTAATGATTTTTGAAGCGAGTCGGACGAAATGGGTTACCTTGAAGAATTTCGAGGGTGTGACAGATTAACTATTTCTTAGCAAGAGACACTAAAGAGATTACTAAAATAGACAATCTAAGCTACTTTGTAAGAGTTATAAATGAAGCAATAGAATAGCTTTTGGCAGTAGATATAAGCTTGTGGTTAATGCAATCACAAAGACCCAAATCAAATCCATCTAGTGAAAATTAATTTTGTACTAGATGGAAAAATGGTGTAATAATCACATGAAAGCAAAGACAACATATGAGCTACTCAGAGTAGCTCAACAGAGTACATTAATCTTGTTATTGAGCTGATTGTGTAAATTTAGCAAACTTTAAAGGTTCACACGCCTAAATGTGGTGTTCTATTTGGCAAATTTCACACTGAGTCAAAGTAGGGATTGTAAGTCAACACAAGTGCAAGATATTTAAGCTTATTATACATAATTTTGAAGAAAAAAAATGTATGTAGTTCATTCTTATTATTAAAAAAATTAAAATTTTATTTTTTTTAAAGGATGACAGTCTTATTGCAAAAATGGAAGCTGATAAAATTTGTTCTGATGTGCAATTAAAAAGAGATCAGGTCTGTAAAATCATATATTTGTTATAAACAAACATTAAATTAATATGTTCTATGGTGCAGATAAGAAGAAACAAAAATTTAGAAAGTTTTGCACGTCTCACTGTTGAGCAAACACATAAACTCATTTCACTCTTTCGTCAACATCCACAGCTCTGGGATCCTAATCATATAGATAGTCAATCCAGAATGCATAGACGCATTGCTTGGCGTTCCCTAACATCTAAGTTAAATAATATTTACACACTGAATTATTCATGGAAAACTTTGCAACGTAAATTAACTGACTTCTATAAATATTATAGACGTGAAAGACTTCGTATAGAAAAAGAGAAGACCGCAACCAAATGGTGTTTCTATGATGACTTTGCTTTTGCTAATGTTGTTGTAAGTACAGTTCAATATTATCGCTTAATCGAATTAACTATAACAATGTGTATTACTTAATATAGTTGAGTTCTTCACCCAGCATAGACAAAACCTTTTCCTTTAAAGAATCCAACATAAAACTTATTGAAGTTTATAAAGAAATGCCTCAACTCTGGGATACGCATCATCCAGAATACAGCAGACGCACATATCGTGCACATCACATACAAGATATGTGCAAACGTTTGTTTGAAGAACATAACATAAGAATAACATCAGAGAGGTTAAAACAACGTTTAGTCGACTTCCGTGGAAGTTATCGTACAGAGAAGCAACAGCGAATCGAAGCACATAAACGTAAAGAAGAGTTCGTTTCCAATTATGAACATTACGATGCATTGAATTTCTTGGACTTACACGTTTCACCTTTTGTTTGTAGTATATGTGGAATGGACTTTAAGAGATTACCAGAAATCACACGACACGAACGTTTAAAACATGCAAACGTTATAAAAGATCGTCGCAAATTGCCGCTATCAGCAATCGAACAGGATGCGACATTAGAGAATATATGTCACATATGTGGTATGAAATTTACAAAACGCTGTAGCCTCGTACATCACCTAAAGAGACATTTGGATCAACGTCAATTTGCCTGTACAATGTGTTCAAAAACTTTTTACAATCGCTCATCTTTAACCCAACATGAACGCAGTCACACGAAAGAATATCCTTGCATATGTGATCAATGCGGTCGTTCATTTCTTAATGGTAGCAAACTGAATGAACACATGAAGCGACATCGTAACCAAAGGGATTATGTTTGTGATCATTGCAATAAAGCTTTCTATACTGCCTTTGAACGAGAGCGTCACAAACGACGGCACTTGAATATACGAGACAAGATATGTCCTGTTTGTGGGAAGTCCTTTGTGGTTGGATCTTCATATTATACTCATCTAATGCTACATAATGATGTCAAAAAATTCAAATGTACTGCATGTGATCAGCGATTTGCGCAATATGCTGGCCTATACAAGCATCGGAAGCGGTACCATCCCAGTGATTAAAATAAGAAAACTCCTTCAAAAGTTAAAACTTCTTTTGGTTAATTATCTTTATAGTTATTCATAAGTTAAATATAAATTTTGTATAAAACTAGATTATGTTCAATTAGTAGATATTGTTAAAACACGGTAATTAAAACTAGAACTTATCATGACTTTATATACTCAATACTTTAAAAGTTAAACCAAATTTAAAATAAATAATATATGAAGAATAATAACGTTTTAAATTAGTATTTTGTGGCTTTTAATCTCGTTTATTTATATCCTAATGGCGTTTTCGATTGGTAAATCTGGATATAATCTAGATTAACTCTTTTACTAGATTTACTTTTTAAAGTGGTCTAACATTGTTTTAGTCAGTAGATACTTATATTTTTTAAAAAAATATATATATATCGAATCAAATCACACTTTATTTGTTAAGTCATATAAAACACCTTTTAATTTCAGAGTAATCATGCTACTCTAACAAAATATCTAGAGTCTTAAAAATTAATCTTGAGTGTTATACATTTTGCTCTAACTTTTCCAATCGAAAATGAAAATTACACTAAAAATGCATAAAAGAGCAACTCGATTGCAAAAATTACAGATTTACAAATCGAAAACGCCATTAAACAATATATATACGAGGGCGGTTTTATAAATCAGTGACTTTTTGAATAAAACAAATTTTTTTTCGGCAAATAAACATTTTATTTTTCTACATAATCACCTTTTAGCTCGATTCATTTAGTCCAGCGTTTTTCCAATTTTCTTATTCCCTCCAAATAATAGGTTTTCTCAAAGCTCTCAAAATACGCGTTTGCTTCGAATGACTTCTTCATTCGACTCAAATCTCTTACCGCCCAGCCATTTCTTTAGGTTTGGAAATAAAAAATAGTCGTAGGGGGCTAAATCTGGAGAATATGCTTGATGGGGTAGCAGTTCGTATCCCAATTCGTGGATTTTGGCCAGTTATGCTTAATCAGCGCACGAAATTCACTTTTTTCTATTTTCGTAAAAATTCATGAGGATGTCTGCTTTGAACGGCTATCAAATACCAACTGAACGACGTAGCTTGCTCAAAATTAAAAAGTTGCCCACTGGTAGATTACAGCTGACGGCAGCACTGTTGCATTTGGAGTAACTGCGCGGGAAATTCAAAAAGTCACTGACTTATCAAACAGCCTTCGTATATTAAACCACAAAAACAAAACATTTGTATTTTATATATATTGATATAATGGATAATATGATAATGGTTTCAGCATCTATATCTCAAAGTCACGTATCATCAACGACCAAAAACTACTCAAAACTTTCGTTACACAGATCGAAAGGAGGACAAATTAAACAGATTTCCACAAGAAGAAAAAACCAGTCAGACTCCAACGACATCATAACAAATTATACATTTAAATCTTTCAAAAAAACATTCATCCGCAACGCACCTACAGCCTTATAACTGTGGTTATAACCCACATTAAATATTGTGATAAAGATATGCTTCATGAGAAACTGGTATTGTGACTTTCGTTTGTTGTTGTAGTTGTTGTAATCCGCTGTGTCCTGCTTGTGAAGACTTTTTGGGAGATGTCGAACGGCACTTGGCCGTCGCTGGCAAGGGGACTATTTGTTGAATCTCTTGACTGGCGTCATTTTTAATGCTTACACTGATTATTTTACAAATTCAATCTTATCGCTATCAACAGTGATTTGATCTCAAAGACACTGAGAAGATTTATTTGTTGCCAAAGAGCACACTGTTTTGCTCTGATTTAATCCGATTCGAAGTTTATATGATATTGGTCATCTGCTTTATTACATTACAAACTTCTTGAGAACACTAAAATATTCTTTATTTACAAAAATGTAAAAGGTATACAAAAATGCATTGATTATAACATTTTAGCAAAAATTAGAAAATCATACATTTTAATTCATAAGAACAAAAAATAATTCAATCTTTTTAATTTTAATTTTTATAAAATTTATTTAGCAAAACGTTTCTGTTGCCGTAAACGATAGATGTCGTTCACTGGTGGCGTGGGACCCTGTGTCTCTTCATCGCTGTCTTCACCACCAGGTAATATGCGCCTACGTTTTATTCCATTACTTGAATCAGTAGAAATCATACTATCATCAACTATCCAATGTACTGATTTTGCCATATCAAATAATTTAATATCACAACCGTGCTCACCGGTGGGTAATGGAACAGCTACAAAACCGAATATGTAAAGTTTTATTAACTCAATAACGACAATAATTTATAACTCACCATCGGGTAATTTTATGCGATTGAATATATCGAAAAGCATTTCTATTGATACAAATGGTCCACGGAATGAAACAGGCGGTGGTAATTGCGCACAGAGCATTGCCAACGCAGGTGGTTGAGGAAATGTTCCACCAGCCAATGGATGCTCAAATGGACGAGCATTTAATTTTGGTTTGAATGGTATCATTTGTGCGATATCGGGCTTTGGTAAGTCTTTAATTTGTTCCACGTCAGGTTCATCAGATTTATTTGCAGAACTAGTTAAACTTTTATTTGTCATAATTCCAACGTTCTATATAAAAATAATGGCGTATATTTTTTATTATTTTCAAAAAAAATTATTTTCATAGAGTATTTTAAAAATATAAAATAATATAAAATAAACTAAAATACTAAAAGCAATAACATAATCTAGAAGTATTTTTTTTTATATATTTGCTTATTAGCGTTATACTATAAGAACTTAAAACTTGATGAATATACCTATTTATACTTATTTGTTACACATGAATAACAATATACAATATTGTTGTTCATGTGAAGTTAGTTAAGACATACGTAGGTAATGTAGGCATATGTGTATGCCGTCAGAGAATATAGATATCGTGATGTTATAAAGTATATATAAACTTTATGTTATATACTCCCTGGACTAGATAAATACATACTAAAATGCATATCAAAAACAAACATCAAAAAAACCTTTACTCACCTCAGTGTAACCAATGGACTTTAACTCAATACTTGTACAAGGGTACAAATCCAAAAATTTGTAACGATCCACCAATTGTGCTGTCTCTTTTCCTTCATATTCTTTCAACTAATATAACAAAAACAAAAAATTTTTATGCATACCTTAAAAGATATTTTATCAAACTTACGTTTTCCAAAATAGCACTTCGTCTGCGTTCTACTTTAACAATACTTGACAAATCTCCAATATTAGATTCGAATTCGAGAAAACGATTCCAAACGTCTACACTCAACTGTGGAGTTAAACCACCCGATGACAGAACACGTTCAAACAATACACGTGTGTTATTATCTTCATTCAAATGTGATAAATAATCTATATAACACATAACATATTCTGGGCTACCACCAAAACGCTTTAAACCTAATTCAAATATACGAAAAGCTATTTCTTTGTCCTTCGAGCAATAGTATTCCATTAATGCTGCAGCAACAAAAACATGATATCGAGAACGCACATCTTCACGTGCCTTTTTGAAAACTGCACGAGCGGATTTGATACCTTCAGCACGTCGCGCAAATTTCATATATTGCACATAAGCCTAAATTAAAATTTATTAAAATAAATAGATTATTTATGTTTATTCAATATTAATTAAAATATAGTTGTACATCACAAACTTACCAAAGTTGGATCTATGTCTGTTATAGATAGTAACTTATTATACATGGCATGTACTTTATCGTATTTCATGCGCCCTTCTTCAAAGTCAGCGTAAGCAAAATAGAGTAAAGCATTTTTATTAAGCACTCCATTGATTGATCGTTCCAAAATATTTGCACATTCATCGCCAAAAATCTTAGCAGCTTGTGTATCCTATGATTTGTTTAAATATATCAAGGAAAATATAGATTTTGTGTTAAAAAATTAATTGGAAGCTTATTAATATTACACAAAATACAACACAGAAAAAAACGTGATGCAGTTGGAAGCATCATTGGATTTGCATGTTTTTGTTCTTTATACCAATCAATCAATAGTATTAGAATATAAATTTATTTATAACAAATACTGTGTATAGGAGTTTAAATAATGAGGAAATAGGAATTCAAATTATACATGTAAATCCATTGATACAACACTGCATCTAATTAAATTAAATAAAAGAGTTTCATCAGTTTGTGCTGTTGCGTAAAATGCAAGAAAATTCACTTTTATTTGCATTATTTTGTTATGTTGAATTATAAACAAAAACAATTCTCTATTAACTGTTTTGTGCATTAATAAAAGTATTGATTGGCTTAACAATTCTATTTTACACAAGTAATATTCAATTATATTATTAGTCAAGAGAATACGCACTCCTTTTTCAGCTAAGACCTTTGCGCTTTGATCAAGAAATTGTGCGGCTTGATGCCACACTGCTGGGTGATGCGTTAAAACCAATAAACACTGTTCTGTGGCAAACATCACACGTCGCGTAATTAAAGCAGTATCTTCCGTACGTAAAGGATTTGATTTTTCAAAAGCAATAAATTTTTTCCACAACTCAACCTAAAGTACGTAAAATATTTCAATTAAATTATTCATACGAAAATCAAACTAAAACTAAAAATAACCTGTTTGATTTCTTCTTTTGAAAGGGTCGGCGGTATTGCAGGTAAATTGCGATTTAAACCTTTAGTCATAATTTCTAATTCTTTAGCAACACGACGAGCATTCATATAGTCTCTACATTAAAGCAAGAATTTAATTTTATAAAATATTGTAATATTGCATATAGCAAAACAAAACTAAAATACAATTTAATTGATTTCAACTTACTTTGATCTTTCAAGACTCATTTTTTCCGAAATTATTGGATTTATGTTATGCTCAAATGCTATATAGTCCTTCCATAGCTGTTCAATTCCGATTATAGGTGTTATTACAGCTTTTTGAAAAACACGTCGTACTGCTGTTATCTTTTGATTTTCTGCATAACTTCCCACCGCTTCAACGCTACGTAGAAAATTAATATAATCTTGCCATATAGAAAACGAATGCAAGTCCATGCCAATCTTTTCTAGTGCAAAATCATATGCTTGTGCTAATTTTTCTCTATTATAAGTAAATAATACAAATTATTAACTATAAAAACAAATCATTTGCATTCAACATACTTATGTGTGCTGAGTCCAGCTTTAGTTTCTTTAACATACGTTAAATAGAGCTTCCACAAATCAATATTAAGGATTTTAACTAATGAACGTTGAAATAATTTTTCCACACGTTCAAAGTTTCGCCCTTTCATTTCCTGTTCAATGTAAATCTTCCAATATCGTGCAGTGGTAGGAAACACATTAACCATTGATTCATACAGAGTACGGACATCACTGACGGGGCGCGTTTGTGATTCACGTAATAAAACTGACCAAGAATCAATATCATAAGGACGCATTTCAACCACCTGCTGGGCACGTACTAAGCGTTCGTGACCCCATTCCTATAGTTAAACAAATTATATATATAAACAATCAAATACTAAAAAATAAACAATACGTACAATATCAATTTTAATCTGGTCGCGCACAGACATCTTGAGATAATTCAATTTATAAATATGTTTTCAACAATTGTCTTATTTTAAAATAACTTATTTTAATTTAAAATTTGGTTTATAAGCGTAATATATTGTTTTTGATATTAATATAAATCTTTTTATTCAAATAATCTCCATTTACGACTAATTATGTTCACTAAAACCGCTTACTGTCAAATGTGAGAAACAATCAGCTTATGTTCGAATTTCGAAATTTTTATTGACTGTATCATTCAAAACGCATACATACAAAATAATGTAACACAGCATGTTTGAAAGGAAAATATCATATATATAACTTTGCTTATAAAATGTAAAGGAACAGTATTATATGTGTGGATAATAAAATTTATTTAAAATAAGTATATACTTGATTGTAAGAATATACGAATATATAAATAAATGTATATATTCTTATATATACTTATATATATATTTATTTTCGGTTTTTATAACAATATACTTATCTTATAAAAGATACTCAGCACTGTATAAAATACTGACATACATTTTTTGTCACGTTCTCAGTACGTTTTGGATGTCGTAATATACCTAAACCCAAGATAAAACAATGTATGTAACACATTAAAGATGTTTGAAAATATTTTTTATTACAATATAATCCATTTAATTATTGTATAAGTATAGAAAGAAACAGAATAAAATTTTTATAGTTTTTTTTTTGCTCAGATGCATTATGTAGTAAGCAAAATACGAAATACAATAATATCCATTGTACACGTGCAATTAATTTAAAGTTATAGACTATTCATAGCGTAAGTAAACTAAATTTTGATTGTATAATGCATTAGCACTATAGTTCTCATCACCAGAGTCCTGAAAAATGAATATTACATTCAATGACTACTGAAAAAGCTGCATTAAGAAGGATAAGAAAATCATTAAATACTTTCCCAGTTCATGTAGAGCGTGTAACAGAAAAAAAAAAAATAACAGCATTCGCTGTTTATCAGCTGGAGGACTTCTAACATATTGCACAACAATCCTCTTCAAAGGTTTTTATAATTTGTTCAACGAGGGATAATACTGTTTATTAAAAGGATGTAATATCATAACGGACTAATTTGACCTGTGCTTTAATTTAGAAAGTTGCCATCCTTGCTTAATGATCACGATTGAATCTTAACGTCACCATGATTTGGTTTCGCATTTTTGTCTTTGTAATTGCAATTAATTAATAAATGAAAGTGTCAAACGTTGCAATAATATCTTATATCATTTTATATTGAAACTTATAAATAATTCACATCATTATTACACAACTGCTCTATTTTAAATTTCGGTTTGTCAACTTTGTCCTAAGTACAAGTTATACCAAAGTTTTTTGTCGGACTTTTATATAAAATCGGATTATAAGCTCAACTTGCCTTTATAGCAGAGCAAGCTAAGTGAGCAAAATTACTATTAAAACTAAAATTACTTGCACAATTTAAATATGAAATTGTTACCCTTATATATAATTTAATTTATTTTATTTAAAATTTATAACAGTTTTTATCAATCGTTACCGATTTTCACCAAAAATCTGTAAAAACTTAAAAAAAAAAATCACAATGATTGAGATATGAGAGAAAGATAAATTTTATATTTACATAGAGAAGAAATAAAAATAGGTGATATATACAAACATTGTGTCTGAAATTTGTTGTCAGTTAAAAAAAAATTTAAAAATAATATATATTAAAATAAGTTATAAGTGCATTTAATTAAAAATGTAGTTTTAACTTTATTTCTTACTTTATAACTAATTTAATCAAATTAATTGAATTCCTAATTTAATAAAAAAATTTGTTAATAAATGTCTTGTGCCTCTACTTGTTTCACAAATATTTTCTGAAATTGCGTTAACGAGTTCCAAAGCATTTCTTTTTTTGCAGGAAAACATATGGGCACACACTTATATTTTCAGCAAACTATTGTGAACCCAGAGGTTCTGTTTTATTTTTTAGTTAAAAATACAACCATGTGTTTCGTTGCGAAAATTCGAATAACAATCACCCGTCAAAAAGTAAAAGAAGCAAATTAATTGCAAAGGCGATGTCGTCGTCGCGTTAGTTTTTTTTATTATTATTAACGGATTTATATATTGAAATTTATATGTCTATTTATATAGTAAATGAAATAAATTGCATTACTGATTTGTATAATAAACATTCTATTTAGTTTAGATTGCTGTAATTAATCACAAATTAAAATTAGAATAAAAAAATTAAAACTTCACTTATGGTTATGAAGGCATACTGCTGTGAGTTTGGTCATTTGACTTTCAACTGAATGTGAAAAAATATATATATTTTTTAAAAATTATGTGTTAGTTAAAATTGTGTAAAGGAAAATCTAAACAACCACTTGCCACTTAACAAATAAAACTTTGCAACGTCACTTCCACCGACGCCCCAGTGTGCCCTCTTCCCCCAAAACAAAACACTGAAGCATATCATTTTTGATAAATCTAATTCATTGTGCTGCCCCTCATTCAACACAATTTAAGAAAATTAAGTAACATAAGTTAATATAAGTGAATGTGAAAGAATTTGCTTATCGACAAAACTTTGTAGCGCTTCGATTCGATTTTTTTCTGTAAAATACTATCGTCGGTCACAGTTTAAATTCAACGCTTTTATCACAACTTTCCTGCAATGGCGAGGGGATTTGATCACTTATTCAAATTATTAATCATTGGGGATAGTGGTAAGTATCAGCAATCAAAAAGAAATTAACACTTTATTTCTTTTATTCAAATGAATTTAATTTCCTTACACATACAAAACAAATCCTCTAGCACAAGTATCTTTCATATCTGATGTTTTCAAGTTTTTTATATTTTGATTTCGTTTTTCATTAATGGAGACAATGACTAATTAACATTAAGTCTCTTTTCAACTAAATTCAGCACTCAAAAAGAGAAAATTACATTGGTATCTTGTTTTAAATATGTTATCAATAATTGTGAACATATTTTGCAGACATACAATTTTAACTCGAAAATTAAATAAAGTAAATAAATTAATTAAACACAAAAAGAAATCATTCTTTTGATAAACAAATAAAACTTATGTCTTTGTAATACAACTTAAAAAATTAATAATATTATCAATTTAATTAAAAATTAATAATTGAAATTACACATATTGCAGTGTACAATAATTTTACTTAATTGTTTAATTTAATAATTGTTAACCAATAATCAGCTTTCCTTTTTATTAATCAAGTTTAATTTATAACAAACCTCAAACTCGAACTCATTTATTGTATTAACTAAAAATATGTAATGGAATTTTAGTTTATAAAAGTGAATTAAAAACAAGTTATTTTTAGTAATTTTCATATATTTTTGATTTCATGCATTCTTCACAGTTTCACTCCATTCTTCTTTATAACTTTGGTTTGGTCGATTTTTGATTCTAGCATATGCTAGGATATAGTCAGAAAAATTTTGCTGAAATCGGGTCACATACATTCTCACAACATTTGGTTACCATCATGATATATCTGCCATATATCAGATTTTATAATATCATCTCCATTTGTTAGCTACAACAGTTGTCCATTGCTGTTTAGAGTATAGCTTCCATATGTCAAACCATTTGAACCAAAGTCCGGTGTATAATTTTTCTTTTAAATATTATCAGTGATTTCTATTCACCGGTTTTTTTTTCTAAATTTTAGTACCAACGTTATGCATCCTATAATTATACTATATACGCGCAATTTGAATTTAATAATTCTAAGATTCCGACAGTATTGAATATAAATAAACCATCGTTTATTTACAATCGTTTTTAAATTATATAAAATTTAAATTTTTTTATTATCATTGATTCAGAAAGCATTCTCAGTCTGCACTGATAATAGAAGGGTAATAGTATATACAGAAATCTTTAAAAAATCTATACTGTGAAATTAACAAAGATATGAAAAGACTGGTAATAGCAAGTGCAACAGTTACAACTGTGAAATAAAAGTCATGTGCACATTAAACGAAGCATTCGGTTTGTACTAGCGATCATATATTCGATATGATCATACATATAGCCACAATCTGACAGCGGCAGATTCACAAAGAGCTTTTAGATCATATAGTATGAATGCCATGCTACAAATCAAATGTTAGTTCCATCTGTTATGCTATGGGCCAACAGATCTATATATAGGTTTCGGTCAACTATATTAACCAATCCTAATGGTAGAGATTCATATGAATCCCTACCATGGAATAACATAAAATATTGTAAATAAATATAAGCATGTACAAGATAAATTATTACAATATACAAAAAATTTAACTATACAATTTAATTTAACAGTGGAACAGTTAACCAAAGAAATCAAGTAATGAGTAGCACTGTAGTTTAGGTTCATATCACAAATCGTGTAGTTTGCGCGTATATATATCAACTGTTTATAATGTGACAATACTCTGCCTAAATAGAATTAAAACAGTTCTTATTATACTTGATATTTTTCTGGGGCAAAGACCTGTTCATAACATGTTTGTTATAATTAATGGTAATTAAGTGTGTGAAACTAAGAATCCTCATCTATAGTCCATATTCAATATGATTATCCTACTGTTTGTATTCATGATACAAAGATAATAAGAGTGCAATAGTGTAGACATACTCTATTGATTTATGCTATCTTTTTATTTAATCTCTAATACACCCATGAATAAATTCTTAGCTTTTAACCTTAAATTGATTGTATTCGTATTGATTATGTGAATGATTTCACATAAAGGTGGTTAGCATGTGAATTAAAATAATAACCGAGTCACATCTTTCAATGCCAATTTGGCCTAAATCCATCAATATACATAGAAATCCAAACGATGACCAGCTAACAATAAAAAGTAAACTTATTTTGAAAAACTATTAGATCTGGATGGACTCCAGAAAGCAAAGAGTAGCAAACAAAAACAACCTCATATAGTAGGAGAAATTATTTTTTCGCGGTATTTGTCTACCAGCAAGGACTCAATACTCGCAGATCGTTAAAGTATGCTCCAGATATTTTTCTGCAACAGTAAGGTCACATTTCGGATGACAAACGTCTATTTTGGGACTAAGAACATCTATTTTAAAATATTACCAATAATTAATAAAGCCTCGGGATTAAATAGTGAATAGTGTGTTACGAAAATAATTTATTTTCATTATTTTATTATTTGTATTACTTGTTTCATAATAATATATATACCTACATTTAAAATTTAAATTATTATTGAATAATCGTATATATTTACGTATTTTAATTTTGGAAGATTTAAGCACTCTAAGTAATCAATGTTATAATTTAATACTGTATTATTTACACGTATTTTAGCATTTGTCTTTTATTCTTTTACTATTCACTGATTAAAGTAAAGCTTTCACCATGTAACTACACTTAATCATTTAATTAAATTTATTTCATTTGATATTATTAAGTCTTTTCCATCGTGTGCTTAACCATTTCTACTTTACTTTTCGCTTTTTGATTTTTTTAACGTGTTCCTTATATTTTTTTAGGCGTTGGAAAATCTTCACTCCTAATTCGTTTCTCTGATGATACATTCTCTGGCAGTTATATTACGACCATTGGTGTTGATTTCAAAATACGAACAGTGGTAATCGACGGTCTGCGTGTGAAACTACAAATATGGGATACAGCAGGACAGGAGCGCTTTCGAACCATCACAAGTACCTACTATCGCGGTACGCACGGTGTGATTATTGTATACGATGTAACAAATGGTGATTCATTTGCGAATGTCCGACGTTGGCTGGATGAGATACAAAACAATTGTGATGTCGTGAATAAAGTTTTAGGTAATTATTATTTTAATTAAATATATTTATATAATTGTTATAAAACAATTGCTTAAATATAAGCATAATTTACTGAATATTAGTTTCAAAAGTATGTGACCATTTTATAATGATAAGAAATAGTTTTTTAATAATTTACATAGTAATTTAACTTTATATAGTAAAGAAAATTTATATTTAGAATTTCGAATCGATTGTTTTAAAAATCTATTTCTTTGTAAGTATTACCCAAAAGTTTCAAAGTGTTTTACAAATAAAGTCTTTTAGATCACAATTCAAATATTACCCAAATAAAAACTGTAAAAGAAGAGCTTCTAAAAGATTCGTTCCAAATTTATTTTCCAATACGGGCTTCTAAAGAAGAGGTTTTGAAAAGATTACTTCGAACATGATTCGTTTTTAAGAAACCAGTTTTGTTTGATATTTATTGTCTGGTACAGAAAATCGTTGCACTTAAATATTTCTACTATATAATAAAGTTTAATCAATTACTAATATTACCATACTAATACTACTTTTTCGTACGCAAATAAACTCTATATATATTACGAATCAAGTTTTCCAAAATATTAGAACCGATTTAACATTAATTTTAATTTAGAGCAAATTTTTTAAACTACAGATTTCAGAATCCATATGTCTTCATTGAAAGATAGCAGTATATAAACATATTGTACTATACTACCTTATTTAACAATTATATGGTCAAAAAATGCTTGATGTGATATGAATTTGAACATAAATTTTTTGTGTTAATTATTATGGTTGAGTGAACGGTGTTTTGGGCACAAGGCCGCCACTTCAGCCTATGGTTAGATGCACATTCCTTATGATAGCTTGGCACATCCATTAGAATATTTTAATATCATATAAATTGTGCTAAAAATAATTTGAGATAGTGATATTGCTAAAAGCTCCATAGTACATCAGAAATAGAGATATACACAAAGACTTGAGAGTGTGCAAAAGTATATCAAAGACAGAGCGCTGAAATTGTTCGACTCTGTAGACTGCGCTCTAAACTGCAATTCTGGCACTCTCTCAAATCAAATGCAATATAGATTGCATGCGAAAGATAGGGTGGACCTTAACCTATACCTTCATTAGATCATGTGAATAACTTATTATCAGAATTCAAGAAAGCTCGTTTTACTGTGAATCATCCAAGTGGTTATAGACACTGTTGAGTAAATGTGCTTTAGACACTAACTTGCGTTTCATCAAGCAATAAAGTAGAAAAGACAGTCCAAATAATGTACTATATAATACACATTTTTTGTCAAAACTACAAAAAAATAATTCTCTATTTCAAACATATATTAATAAATTAACGAAATTTTTGTTCTTGCCTTTTCTTTGCTATTTGAGTCCATCTAACTTTTAAAAACTTTCTTTTTATCATAAAGACACGTTACTTTTGGCAAGAAAAAATTAACATTAATCCTCTATTATTACAGATTATCAGTACTTAAGATACTATTTTAATCAAACTCGTTGTTTTTTGTATAATAATCATTTCAAAAAAAATATGGTTTATTTATTAATATGTTAAATTGAAATTTTTCAGTTGGTAATAAGAATGACGATCCGGATCGGAAGGTGGTAATAACTGAAGATGCGCAACGGTTTGCGCGTCAAATGGATATTGAATTATTCGAAACATCCGCCAAAGATAACATCAACGTTGAAGAAATGTTCCTTTCGATAACAAGGCAAGTGCTGCAGCATAAATTGAGAAATGCGCAAAACGAACAACAAAAGGACACCATCAACTTGAAACATCAGAAGAAGAAAGGAAAAAGTAAATGTTGCAGTTGAAACTTGCAAATTTATGAAATATGCAATAGAACTTCTTTACTCAAAACTTTAAAAATTAAAAGAACATAAAGTTTAATAGATATTTTTTTATATATTTTGCTTCCCAATTCACGTTTTTTTTTCTTTACAAACGAATCATTTTTTAAATGTTTATTAGCGCAAATGTAATATCACTATATATAATTTTCTATATAAATTTCTGTATAAAATAAATAATTCTATTTAAATTATAATTGTTTAAATGTTTTAATGTTTGTGTGAGTGTTGATATTACTACTATATAAAATATAGTTATTATGTAGAAAACTGCTCCGCATATCTTCTAGAATTTAGCTAAACCAGAGAAATTATTGCAATCACATTGATATTTTTACTTATGCTAGCATATAAAAAATAGAAATTTTTCAATTTATGTAAATTAGAACTCACCAAAACGCTTTAAAATAACAAATTATATTTTTAATTAAATTCTTCCAACATTTTTTATGTTTATTTTTTGTAATTTATAAGTTAAATATTACAGTTAAATTGCATTTGAGAGAATTTTTTCAATAACATGTGTTAAAGCATATAAACTAAGTATAAGAGAAAAAAATGTCTTACCATTTCTACAAAACAATAATTTTATATTATATACAATTAAATAAATAACATTCATATAGAACTTAATAAATATGTACTATATACATGATAATAGCATATATATAAAATGAATTATTTTACTTTGAGAATTTTAATATGAACTTATTAATTGTCTATTTTTCATATTATGTGCTGTATTGAGGATATAAAGATACTACATAAAATTTTGTATAACCACCAAATAATCGCATAGATATAATTTGTTAATATGATAATTATGTGAAATACTTCTGCAATTAAAGTAATGATAGATTTTTTTAAAGTAAATAGTGCTTTTAAAATATGAAAGGATTTAAGATGTACAAATCTTTATGTAACCAATGTCTAAATTTATCACTCAATTATTATGATAATATTATCAAAGTAATAACTATACTCATACATACTGAATTCAAATTATCGTGTGAATTGTAAATTCAGAAATTCAGATATTTAAATAATTTTATTTTGTTTAGACTTTAGTTTGAAAATTATTAAAGTAGCACAAGTTTAAAGCACTCGTATTAGCAATAACGCATGACAAAGTGGAATGTGTTTTTTCTTTTAATTATTAATCTTCTCAGAAATTGTAAAATTACTTAAAAAATGTGAATTTAGAGAACAAATAAGAAAATATTTTTTAAGAATATACCATTCTAGTTTAAATATGTACGTTCTGTACATATAACGAAGAATATACCTACAAGAACTTCGACCGTATGTTAAAAAAAGCCTGTAATTCAGTATATATCAAAGATCATATGTATTTGTTAAATTTTAACAATAAAATATTTTAAAAACATTCAGTATTTTTAAATGAAAAACAAAAAAAAAGCGTTATTATTATCTCTGCTATCACGCTTGTTGTTATTGTAACCCGCTGGGACTTATTTGTGAAGTCCCTTTAGTAGGCGTTGAACAGCGTTTGGTCATCGCTGGTGTCGAGTGGTTCCGGGACGTAGAACCAACTATCACGATCTTTATTTACACCAACAGCTCCATACTAGACGTTCTAGTCGGCAGTGGCATTTTCTCTAAAAAAATAAATCTTTACATCTGGCTTTGGCTACCAACTATTGCTGCACCTTTCACGCAATATTAATAGCAACTGACTGACTGCAGCGATGTTAGTCCTAAGCAACAAGTTTCTTCTCTGCAATCTTCTCTGACAAATAATCTGCTATCAAATCTATAGTAAAGGCTTTAACTACATCCTTAGTAGTTCAAGCTTCTGTTAATAAAGTAAGTAAGTATACCATTAAGTATTCGTAAGTATTCAATTAATATGTGTACATAGGAACAACTGGGAATACTGCAAGGCTAGCAAGTTTGATAAAGCAGACACGATGCTTTCTAAAATTCAATGCCCGGACAGTCGTTATGGATATGTTGGTCGTAAACCAAAATATTTAGCTGTTTCTTGAAAACATGGGTACATGAAGATGCTTTCTAAAATTCAATGTGCGGACATTGGTATCAGACTCGCTATGGCTATGTTGGACATAAACCAAAATATTCATTCTGTTATTCTTCAAAATTAGGAACATAGCAAGGTTTATAGACTTGTCAGGTAGGGCTACTTTTATATAAAATGGAACATTGAAGGATCGTGTTTTTGTCTACGTAACTTGTGCTTCAACTAGTTTGGTATTCATACCTTTTTTTGTCAGCGCAGTTGATTTGGTATATAAACTATATAAAACCATGATATTAAAGAGTTATTATTTGTGCTTAAGTGAACTTTGGTGTATAAGATCGTCATCCCCTCCTAACCTTCTAAAGTTTCGATCGCAAAAAGCGTTGGAAGTACTGGTGTTTGTTGTGATACTATTAGGAGATTTAGCTCGTCTCTTCAACCACCACTGGTAAACCAACTAGTTCTAATATAAAACTCAAGCTTTTTATTAATTCTTATCCCTGGTCTAGAGAGATCTGACCAAGGAATAACAAGCCATTGCTAATAAGTCAATTTTCACTTCCGAAATACACAAAAAATTGTATCCATGAGTTTAAAACAAGATACTTTTAAAAAGTTAGAGAAATTTGATACACCACAAACAGCAAATAAACCTAATGAATTAAGAAATTAAAGAAAACCGATCGGCCATATACTATTCATTGACTGTGGCTTAGTTAAAGTATGAGACCATATCGTTTATTAAGTAGACCTCTGCTTTATACAATTGATAAACACGAGTGTAAGAGGTTATGGGTGTAGGGTGTATTTTTTATTTTTTATACGCAAATAGATCAAAATAAAACAAATATACCTCATATTTAATTTAAACAATAAATTATTTTATTATTTAACATAATTTTATATGTAACATTTTAATAAATTAATAAGCGTACAAAAGAAAATAAATTAATTTTAATTTAAAAATATTTAAACAAATTATTTGTGGTTAAGATAAGTTATATCAGCTTTATGGAATATTGGTTGAAGTTAACCAAAGTTCACAGCGGCAGTTTTGTATTACCGTACCAGTCACACACACACATTTTAATGATATTTTGCAACGGGAAAGGTACGAGTTTGGCGACACGAAATCAGCGCATCTCCAGACAGTCCACGAGGGCAAGTGCAGACAGCTAAATGCGCTTTTGGTTCACAGGTGGCACCTGATGCACACTTACCAATGCAAGGATTAACGCATTGATAATTAATGCATGCTTTGTTGTCTGGGCATTCGTTGTTACTTAAACATTCACCCTGTAAAATATAGAAAACAACTATGAAACCTCCACACAATATATTAAGTCAACAATAAAAATTGTACATACCCTCGAACAATACGATAATGCATTACCAGTGTAGCCTGGGAGGCAGTTGCAAACGGGACGTTCTCGGCCAGTGTTATCATGACCAGGTATACAAATGGCGTTAGTACCACAGGGATTAGGTTCACAAAGATCCTCTAAAACGTTTTTTATTTATAAGAAAATATTAATTAAAACTTAATTTTAATATACCATATTGCTCTTACCTTTTGTGAATGGACGACAACTTATGAATGGATCGCCTGTCATATCTCTAGGACAACTGCAAACTGGAGTTAAACCACGTAAGTTACAATCGGCACCTACACCGCAAGCACCTTCGCAAGTGTTTTTGCAAATACCATAGAAACATGCAGGTCTGTTGGAAGGACAGTCAACATCGCCATAACACTCTGGCTTACATTCGGTGTAAGGGCTGCCGATATAACCTTTTGGACATTCACAAGTTGCGCGGTGATTGGCAACAGTATTGCAAGTAGCTCCAACACCGCACTGATTGCATGCTGGCACACATTTATAGTTGAGACACATATCACGTGCAGTACAATCTCCGTCATACTCACATTCATGACGACAACCACTTAATGGATTTCCCTATAAAATATCATTATATGTAATTAATATCAATCATAAATTTTTTTATTAATGACATTGTTGATCATACCGTAAAGCCGTGAACACAGGAACAGGTGGGTACACCATTTATAATTTCACATTTGGTATTTACGCCGCATGGACTAGGATGACACTGTTCATCTAGAAAAAAAAATTATATCGTCATTATCAATTATATTTAACAGTAGAGTCGAGTATAAGCGAATATTTTATTCGAGAATAAAACTTCTCACTATATCTATTTTCTAGCTACATATTTTACGATTTTTATAATAAAAGCAAGAGTCTCCAGTTGGTAGATAAATTATTTCCTTAAACCAAAAATAGCTTCAATTTTCAAATAATATTACCGAGTGACCGAGTGACTTCCAAAACGAAATCAGAATAGGTGTTCTATCAAAATAAAGTAAAACTAAAGACTGTGCAGAGAACAGAAACTATCATTGTGAAGTCTAAAGCGTTTGTTATATTTAAAACATATGTGGCTTAAAAAACTAACTAATGGATTTTGATTTATATATTATTTGCAGTAGTTTTCTGCTAGTTAATAAATAATACATATATTAGCGTAACAGTAAGTATATCTCTATATCATTAGTAGTGATAAAAGTACTTTGATCAGTAAACATAGAATTAATCAAGGATATTTGCTTTAACTGTTTGATGTACAGTGACCAAAGAATCGCATAATTGACGTTATAAGGTCTGTTGAAATAGAATATATAAGTAAAATTTGTAGATTTATAATAATGGAGCGCTGTGACTATTACATCACGTTTGTACTAACAGCTCACCCTATGTGAAAAGTACTATGCGTTTGCAGCTTTTAAAATGAAATTCACAATCTCTTTGGTTGAGGAGTTTTTAATATCAGTGAAGGAGATGTGCTACCAGTCCAGAGCTATTGTTCTAGCTTTTCGAATGTTATTCAAAATTCCTTAATTGGTTGTGAAGTTTTCAATATGTCTCAACATTTTTCTTCTGGCCCAGAACAATGTCAGATAGTCAGTAAGAATACGTCTATAACGAAAAATCTTATTCTTTTTCAAAAAACAAAGACATTCAATCATATCAAACAGATCCATCTTGTTAAAATAGTAACGCAGATTAAGGTGACCCATCAGATAAACTGGTGACAACGTCATTTCTATCTTAATGAGAGCAGCGTATCAACGATCTTTATAATGAGTAAGCAGTGAGTCTAATGAATAGGCAATGAATCTAATGAGTAAACAATCATTTATAATTTTGAATTACTTTTTTGTATAAGTTACGTGCAAAACAACGACATACATATACATATAAAAAAGTCTGTACTTATAAGTATATATATACAGAGCATTATTATGTTAAGCCTTTACGAAGTTAGTGCATCTGGACACTTTTACTCTTTGATAGCTGGGGGATTTCAACAGAGTCCCACATATCTCACTGACTAATTTGTGTATTCCTCATAAGCTGCGTAATTATTCAATAACTGATCTAAGATCTGATTACTCTGAGATTAGATAGTGCTAAGCAGGGTAGCCTGTCGGTTTTCTCATATTATTTCAGGGCTCTGTCCCTTATGTTTTTTTTGACCGGATCTATTCTAAGGTTTCTTAACATGTCATTCGTGCGGATGTACCATGACACTTTGAAAAGTCTTTTGCAAGCATGGCTTTAAGCAACTTGTATATCATTATATATAATTAGTAAAACGCTCTGCGCTTCAAGCACTGCAATCAAAGCTAGCTTAAGTTATTATCCATTATAATATAATAATGTTGCTCATAATTTAAGCATTATTCAATAGGTTCTTTTTTAATAAATATTTATATTTTGTTTTTTTTCTTAATTTTCTAGTGCATAAATATAAATAATATATTGTTTGAAGTGGGTTTGTCGTAGATACATTTTTTAGTTACTTTGTAAACTACGCTATTTTGAACCTTGTAATCAATTTATGCAAACACGTGCAATATAATGAAAATATATATATTTATGCATATAACTATATACAATATGCATATATATATACATTTATGTAACTAATTACAGTCTATGTAAACAAATGTAAATAGTAAACCATACCAAATATGTACATTCGAGAACAACACCCTTTTTTATTGAATTATTCTAAACGTAATTTGTGTTGTACAAAAACAACTTTCCTTAATAAATAATATTAAAAATAAATTAAATTCATGCAATGAAGTTTAAATATTAATTTTTACATGTACTAATGATTTTTCTGGTGGAAGTACAAATGACACTGTCCATTACACGCCAACGTCCCTCTCAGAAATGACTTGAGGAAATAAATTTTGTCTAAATTACGAGCGCTTCGAAGTCATAACTAATGTAATTTGTTCTTACTATTTTTTTTATTTTTTTTTTTTTGTAATTGTTAAATAATTTATTTATTTTTAACACTTTTTTACTCTACCTAAATTACGTGCTAACGTACGTCAAATTTTGTGGTGGCGCGAAGGCGATCAGGTTTTCATTGTTACACATTTTCTTGGTAATGAGCTGGCACTATGACTTAGCAATTGCAGCAAAATATTGAATGCTTGCTTTAACCATAAAAGCCCATTTTTGCGAGTTTAGATAAAATGATTCCAATCAAAATAAAAAATATTTTAAATATTTTAAAATATGTGGGTTGAATTTTAATAAAAAGTGCGCAAATAAATATCAACTATAATTATTGTTAATTTGTTTCAATAAAACAATAATAAATTTAAAAGTAAACAAAAAGATTTCATTTTGGCATGATCAAGATCATGGACAATCAATGACAATAATTTAAACTGAATTATGAGCGCAAGTAATGATAAAAGTTCTTGGGAAGCAACCGGACGTATGAGTGACATTATTTATGCGCAGTCGTTAAGCATGTACCATTATTTTTAAGTGTACCATTAAAGTAACTATAGTATAGGATATGAATTGTTTTTTATTACTTGTAATTTACAATGTATATACCTAATATCTAAATATATACAAATAAAATAACAAATAAAATTTTTTTATTTCTGTTGAAGTAATAAACAATAATCCAGTCAAGGCGTACAGAGAGAGGGTTTATGAAGAAACCTCGCAGTTAACAGAGAGTAAAAGTGCTCAACTTCACTGACTCAACTAGCCTTAACATAATAATAATAATTAACTATCCAATAGATTTTAATAGCCATTTTGTTTCTGATGTACTTGTACAAGGAAATATAGATTTTTGACACTTACATAGCTTCACCGAATACCAAGTTACCAATTTCAGTCTAAATAACCTTAATCTGTATAGTAAAGACTATAATTTTTTCTTTAATGTAAGCATGAACTATCCAACTGATTTTGATAAAATGCTTGTTCCTGTTGTATTTAACCGAGAAAGGATATACAAATACAGAGTTACCGATTTCAGTATAAATATCCTTAATATGTATAATAAAGTCGAAAACCTATTTTTTAATGCTTTTATTAACTATCCAACCGATTTTGATAGAATTTTAATTTTAAAAAAAATTATATAAAGCTCTCATAATTCTTCATAATATAAAAATAATATATAATCTTTAATAATACTATAAACATGAAACACGATGAACACTCTGACCTCAACATGATAGAAATAATTTGATCATTATGAAAAGTATTTAAAATAATTTATAGAACGAGCTTATAATTTATATATATTACATTCGGTAATTTTGGTCTTTCTATAAATAGTTATTTAAAATTCTATTTATTAAAATTATAATATAATAGAAATTGATTCAAATCAATATTTCAGATCTTGTACTTAATTTCAGTTAATGAAAAAAAAACAAAAAATCATAATATAGATTAGGTTATATTAATCTAGTTTGCCATAAGTCATGCATAGTTCTTTTAGTACCTAGCGATACCAGATATAGCTTAACCTCTATTTAATTTTATTATTAGATAATTTTGCGAATTTCAGGAGTGCTTATAGCTCTATACCTAACACAGAGTCACCAAACATTTGTAAAAGATTTTTTTAAAACATGTTCTTGAATTCGAGACCCGTTATACCGTTGTTTTAGTACACACAAACACACTCATCATTGTCGAATTTGGCAGTCGAATTTTAATATAAATAAAAAATAAATATTTATTTTTAGCAAATAAATAAAAACTTTCCAATAATTTGAAGCATTTAATTGTCATTGCCAAATTAATGAAGGATTTATACTCAGGATTATATATATATATTATTAAATTTTTTTAGTTTTTTTTATATATAGAAAAAACTATGTGAAATAAATTAAAAATAAAAACTATAAATCATTATATTAGATAAGTTAAAAAAATCCTTTTTTAAAAAATACTAAGCAATATTAAATTGAACTAAAAACAACCGAATAGACTTGCAATGAGTCTAGGGTTAGGACTTATATTATAAGATGTTATTATTACTATGTAAAATAAGAGTTTTCTATTATGTCTGTGTACCTGATTCAATATAAACTTTTTTCATGAATAATATATATAAATTTTGGAAAATTATGGTCGTCAATAATTTAAAAAAAAGATATAGTAAGAAATAAAATATTTATAAAATAAAAAGTTTATTAAAGCTAATAATTAATAAAGTTAATAAAAATATAATTTTTATTATTATATATTTATTATATTATAATAAATATATATATATTATATTAATTTAAAAAAATTTTAAATATTTAAATGATTAAATTTATTAATTTTAAATGCCCAATTATTTATATATTATATATGTATATATTATATATAAATAATACACAACTTTTTAAAACTAATTTGATAAATATTATATTATATAACATTAGCCAAAAAGTTCGTAAAAAATATATGAAATATATAATAATAATTACCTGGATCAACACGTCTGCAAGAAGTGAATGGATCACCAACATAACCTGTTGGACAACTGCAAACAGCAACATGATTTCTAGCCTATTGAAAAGTAGACTTATTTAATATTTTTAATCCAAAAATGTCTGTAAATAAATTACTTCACAATTAGCACTTAAACCGCAAGCGCCAACACAAGGATTGACACAACGTCCGTCCTTGCACTGCAAATCACCACGGCAGTCGACATTATCTAAACATTCACCGCGATTACAATGAACGGCTGGATTACCACTATGACCTGGAGGGCAAGAACAAACTGGCCGTCCACCAGCAGCTTCCTGACACACAGCATTCACACCGCAAGTATTTCCGTGGCAACCATATGTATCAGCTACACAAAGTGGGCAGTAGAATGGTTTTTTAATTAATTAGCAAAGTTAGTCACAGGATGAGAGAGTGTAATTGTGTAAAATATAGTATATATAGTGTAAAAATGAAAGTGTATTTTAAGTGTGGTAGAGAGTATAGGTAAAAGTAGTTAAGTAAGATTGTGTATTTTATAGTGTAAATTATATAAAAATATTAGAAGGGTGTAACAGAACTAAATGTATTACGAAAGTAAGAAGAGTCTTCAGTTCAGTGCAATGAAAATATTTATGTATATTGTGCTGTACATAGTCAGAGAGAAAGAAGAACTGTGTGGATAGTAGTTTTGTTTTGAAGATATAACGTAATATTCTCATATAAATACCGCGAGATTGATATGCAGTCTGATCATGATATATCAGCCTCTGTACTGTGGTACCGTCCGGGTATGTATAATATGTACGTCCATTATACGAACAATTTAAACAACGTTTTTCAACTTTTTTACCTAGTACAATGCTCTGCCCTGTCAATATGCCAAGCAGGAACATGAGACTTAAGACGAGTTTGGCTTGCTGCAAAGAAAAAAAATAAATATTCCAAAATTATTATTAAAATATCAAAAATTTCAAGGAAATTCTGGTTTTGACCCATTATTTTCAAGACCAGTTCATAATAAATATATTTATTAAAATATTTTGTATAATCTGTTTTATTAAATTGTTAATAACTTTTTAACTTTTTATCATGTAAATTTGGCTTAACTACTTTTGTGTGGTTCCTTATCTTGGCATTTATTTCGGCTTAAATGAGTTGATGACACATTTTATTTATTTCTGCATAAATTTTAATTTTTTAATAATTTTAGCAAAATTTAAACAAAAATTATATTCAAGTTCAAGTTAAAACCCACGCATTCCTATTCGCATAATATTTTTGATTTTATTATCAAATCATATAGAGCTCAAATAAAAATTTGATTACTCACACTTCGATTGAAAGAAAAAATATCTAAATCAATTTAAGAATATAAACCAATAGAACTTTCACTTCTTATTAATTATGCATGAATAAATCATTTAATATGCAACAATAAATAAAATTGCAAACATGTACAGATAAATACAGGGTTATTCATTTTATGGTTTTGAATGTAAACATGAAGAAAACACACTTGTGAATAAAATTAAATGAAATTTTTATTCCTAATGTATTGTTTGGATCCAACTATTAGGTAAGATATACAATATTATTCAAATGCTCTTAATGGAACATCTTATAGTACTAACTCCCTTGATATGAATTTTGATTACATGTCGGTACATAGCTACCAATAGCTCTGCAATACCTTGATTGATCTAAGTTTTCAAAACCTTTCGAGTTTCCGGAGAAATGCCCGCCATATTAACACCTAGGCTCATCAGCAAACTCCATTTCTTGGGTGAACGCAAGCGTCTGGTACGATAAAACAAGACATATAGTTTGGGCTAGGCCAACTACATAATCTAGTGCAAAACAATCAAAATATGAATATAGAACGATAGCCTCGAATTAAAACGGAAATAGTTTAAGGATTCGGAATGTAACAAGGAGTATGGGGTAATGTCGTAAAACAAGCTTAGGTCCTACATAGGCTGGCTATGGATGATAATGAATTCACATCACTAAAATATGATATTATACGTAATACGAATATTTCTCGCGCAACAAAGCCAAAACAAGACATATTATATAGCTTGAGCTACAAGCTATAGCTTATTCTTGAAACCACATATTTTTCTCCGATATCTTCAATTTCACATAAAAAAAAAATTGTTACTCACGCGACTGTAGTGTTAAAAATTAACGATTTGTGTCACACCTTCATTATTTTCAAGAAATGGCTGATTATACAACAATTTTTTATGAATGTAATAGTCTTTAGAAAATTAGTTGTGGATTTTACTATCCCAGATACTAAATTTTGTTTGTTGACATAACCAGTAAAAAAAAATAGATTATTACCATTGAAGAAAACTTGATGCGAAAAGTTTCTATTACAGAATCACTATTTTTTAGTAAGTTTTAACATATTTAACACAATCAGCGGTTGTTAAACGTTCTATATTATGCAGACGTAATCCTAAACGAAGGCTTAATATAAGCCTTGAATAACAGTTCTGTTTGATATACCTCACTAAAACAGTATTGTCACATAAGGACCAAGAAATACTTTCAATAATAAAGCATTCATTATTTTTCATAAAATACAAATAATGAAAATATTTATTAAAGGTTTAGATTAGGTTTAAGGGTTAATCGAAGTATCCAACTCTATTAAGACAGCCTATAGGTCTGTTGGGTTAGGACTTATATTATTAGGATGTTCCCCAACTAATGATATTGTTTTTGTATATTATTATTTATTCATTCCAGTACGTTCCCAGGGGAACATTGTGCAACATTGGGGAACATATATTTTTTGTATACAAAAAAGGGTTACTGTTATGCGTTTAGGCTTGATTCACGACCTGCCTGCCACATTTAAACCAAACTAGTATTATTATTACTCATATTAATATTGATCTTTCTTCATAAAAATGTCAACTAACATCAAAATTTTTTAATCGTTTATTTTTATATTCCCTTTGAATATATTTGATATATGTTTTAAATATTATTAATTGTTATATTGTTATGATTAAGTATTATATTTATTTTTATTTATTTATTTTCTGAACTTCATTTTTTTGTGACTAACTAATGAATTATTATTATTATGTCATTTTTAATGTATTTAAAAATAAACTATTGTTTATTAATTTTAAATTATTTTTTATAATTTTTTTTTATTTATTATTTTCTCTTTTTTTTTTGCTATTTATTTTTTTTTATATATTTTTATTTATTATTTATTTATTTTTAGTTATTTTTTGTAATATACTAAGATATTCTGTCATTACTTTTTGATTTCAAGAGCAATCAACTTTATTTTTTTATTTATTTAAATAATTCAACAATTTGATTAGTTGTTTATATAAAATTATAATTAATATATGAGACAAATAAAAATTAATACTTTTTTAATTTTAGTGCTTTACCACTAAAATTTTTAAAAATAATATTATTACAAATTATAGGAAACGGATTTGACAAAGTATTTAAAATGTATTAATATAAATTTTCGTTTAACGCAAAAAGTTCGCTAAATAATTATAAATCACTTTATTTATATACTTTTTCTCTAATTTTTTTTAGTCAAAAATAAACAATTTAGAAAACAATAAAGGTGTTAGATTTATTTATTGAAAAATTAATGCAACAATTAATAAATAAGTAAACCGCAAAAAATGCTTCTTAGAATTGTTTATTTAAAACCTAAGAATTGAAAATATACGAGTACTATATTGATCAAATACTCATTAGATACTCATTAGTAATAACAAATATTAACTGAAGTTAAAATTTATCATTCTGACATCGCGGGGAATAGTGGTGTAGATAAATTTGCCATGCACGTCACTACTGTTTCGGTTGGCATAATATTATAAGAGCTGGGTGGCTTCATATCCTGTTTATAAAAGCTAAAACAATATTAAAAGTACAAAATGTCTAACAAGACGAAGAAGCCCGTCGCAGTGCAAATTAACTATCACTAAAGATATGCCACAAAAAAATACACAGTCTCCTAAGTTCAACAGGAATCAACTTACATTATTCTCATGACTAAATTACGTACCCTAAGCAGGGACTTCTGATAAGTTAAATTATCAGAAGGGGAAACCATCCTGAGAGCACTTTACTACTGAGACTGAGAGCGTGTTTACTACGATTACAGCACATAGAATCTACTTTCAAATGTATCTAAGATCTGGTGTTCAAAAACAACCTAACAAAAATTTTTGAAAAATTCTTGTTGAGTCTCAAGAAATTCCCAAGAATGAAAGTTTCTTGATTCACAAAAATAATTACTACAAAATATAATAGCTAATCCTATAGCTATATGTAGATCACGGTCACCCAATTTATCTCAACATAACGTAAGTTTCCTTATATACTATTATTAGTATTAGACAAAAAATAGCTACAGTAAATAGAGTATGTAACATATCTAAGTTATACCACAACAATTATGGCTACAAATAAATCACAAACGAAAAAATGTTTTCCAAAGTTTAACAATTACTAGATATCCTTAGCAGTTACTTCCGTAGATTTTATCAGGATCAGAGTATGGAAGAAATTATTGAACATTTATTATGGCAGTGCCAGGTTCTATCGAAGAAACTGTTGACGCTTTGGAAATTCTTATGTTGAAGAATTAACATAGCTTAACACGGTCAACTTAATACAACTTTTTAGCTTTGTTGCTGACTCTAGTTGAGTTCTTTGTTAGTGACTGACTTTATATATTGATAAAGTTTATTGTTTGATATATTGATTTATATAATTGAATTTTCTAGTCTTGTAAAAATTTCACAACGATTTTCGACAAAGATTTTCTTTGTTAGAGACTGTTATTATAATAATAATTAAACTACTAATACTAGAAAAATATATCAACGGACTCCGGGACATAATGAATTCCAAGAGTTAGAAACTAAAGACTAGAAAAATTAATAAGTTTTATTTAAGTTTTATTATAATCATAATCAAGGTAGTAATACTACAAAAATAATAATGAGTTCAACGAGTTATTAGAGACCAAAGAGTAGAAAAATAAAAAAAGTGTTGTAGTCCTTCCAAATTATCACAATTTCTCCGAGTCCTAACACTTTCTTTGTAAAACTCTGTCATTATATTAGTAATTGATTTTCTAATCCTGCAAAAATATTATAATGAACCCCAACTGAGTCTCAATACTTCCTTTGTTAGGAATTGCATTTGTCAAAAAGTCCTAAGACTTTCTTTGTAAGACTCTGTCATTATATTAATAATTGATTTTCTAATCCTGGAAAAATATTTAATGAACCCCAACTGAGTCTCAACACTTCCTTTGTTAGGAATTGCATTTGTCAAAAAGTCCTAAGACTTTCTTTGAAAGACTCTATCATTATATTAATAATTGATTTTCTAATCCTGCAAAATTATTATAACGAACCCAACTGAGTCTCAACACTTCCTTTGTTAGAAATTGCCATTATCAAATAGTAAATAACCCATTTTTTGTTTATAAAAAATATTAATTAAAATTTATTATCCTGCTAGAATGTTATAATAATAAGAGAATTTGCTGAATCTCATACATTGAGTCTTACGAAATTTTAAGAAATATCTGAGAAATTTTTCATTATGTTATTATTTTCATTTAATACGATAAGAACAACTTCATTTAAGAGTGCGAGTATCTTTTGAACTATTTAAAGAACACTTTTATTCATATCACATAGCACAATACACAATTTTTATTATTTATTTTCCATTAAACTGAGTCACGATTTGTTTGCCATTGCAATTCGATTATATTTTCAAGCAAAACTTAACTTAGATACAAATTTAAACTCACCATTTTTTATATAATTTCTTTAAATATAAATATATTATATAGTATTTTAACTAAATTATAAAAACTATTCGAAATCACTTTACAATATATATGTATATTGAAACAGAAGCTGCAGTCGTTCCAATAACTTCCTCGGTTATAAAAAATTCTGAGGTTTCGACCGTTCGAAAAACAACCTCAAACTAATGACGGATTAGGATCGACGTGAGCTTTTTATATGAATTCTAGAGAAAAACCCTCGAAGGCGGCTTCAAAATTACGCTTCAGTACGTTTAACCAAAAAGAGCATAGCTCAAAAAAAAAGTTCGCTGAAATGAGTTAATCTCACATAAAACGTAATGAGGTAAGGTAATTTGGAGATTCGAGTATGGTTTGAAATTCTAGTTAGAGAATGTTGGCTAAGTGTAGAAAACTTGATTGAATATTTAAAGTAACAAACAAATAAAGTGATGCGCTTGTTTGCTCATTATGTCAACTGAGCGTACTAACAGATACATCAGTACAGTCATCACTACATTTAAACGAAAGAAATCGAAGCCTGCGTAGGCGTTCTAAGAACATTAAAAATAGTATTTATTTATATATTATTAATTGTATTTGTTGTTTGAAGCTGCCAAACAGCAAATTAATTAATTATATTATTTAAATTTAAAACTTTGTCTCATTTTATTGAAAATTTTGATTAAAATATTGCGAATTTATACGCTTTCTTTTCTTTTTAATTTCTTTATAAACTGCTAATTTATGCCTACACATGAGACTATTATCTAAAACTTTATTATATAATCAAATAACTAATAAAAATGATAGATTTTGGTAAATAATTAAAAGAAAGCAGGTGTTAAAAAGAAGTGGCTGATGTTACAGCATTTAATGGTAAAAATGACACCTAGTAACAACTATTATGTTGATGTCCTGCAAAACATGCTTAAAATGTTTTGAGTTCCACAATTTCGAAAGTTGGAGGGCATCTCAGAAAGGGAACTACTAGCTCTACTTAAATGCGTAAAAAGCATCAACATCCTAAACGGTGCCTACTATATAGTGATCGAGCTCCATCTGCTATCCATAGAAACTAATAGATCTATATATGACTAACGTGAGCCAGATTCATTTAACCTAACAACTTTTTGAGGATGATTTGAGGATGATTTTTCTGGGATGACTGTGTCGATGGTTCCCTTGGTTAATGTTAGGTTAAAGTGGCGGCTTTGTGTACCAAGAAAGCACACTTGCACTATTACTTGAGCTCAGTATCAAATAATGACCTTTTGTGATACCACAGGAATAGCATTGGTTCGTGCATTGACTAGAAGGTCACTAAGATGCCGTAAACATCGATTTGCTAAAAATGGTGCAGACGATGTTCCTTATGTTACAGTGTTCAATTGGTAAATCTTTAATTCTTCGTTTGGACTTTCCTTCCACAGAATGAGTTGAAAGTCGCGATCTGCCTCGTCAATCAAAACTTGACGGTACATTTTAGTAATGTGAGCAGTTAATGCATATTTATGCATTCGAAAATGAAGTAATGTTGTATATAACTCTTCTTAATGACAGTTGAGTTGATGATCTCGAAGAAGATTCAAAGACTACACGAAGTTTTGTTAATGTACTTTGTGGTCTTAATACGCACTGATGCGGTATGAAGTAGTGGGGATATACAGAGAAGTTACGAGCTGATAAAGTCATGTGACCTGGATTTACATATTTTTTCATAAAATCCATGTATAAAACATGCAGAGCAGCTTCCTCAAGATTTTTGATATTCTCTTAGCTAATATATAGACATTGACACATGAGATGAAACACAGTTTCCTCCTCGTCCTGACGGTTCCCTAAATTTTCACCATTATTAAAACATCTTCACCTTCTATGCAAAACAATGTTGGTAGATACAAATGCATTATGGATATCTGTAAGAGAAAGCTACTCATTACAAACATACGAGTAGTATTCTTAATTTCTTTGGGCAGCTTGTAGTGGATGACCTCTGCATAAAAGTCGATTGCCGATAGAGTGATCAAAATTTGAATCCCTTTGAACAGAATGGCCAAATCGACATCTACAAAAGCATTGACAACGGTAACGAATATAACTATGTCTATTTAAATCGACATAGCTGGAGAATGTAACTTTATTGTGAAATAGTGCTACTCTATTAGGTAATTCGTTTGAATGTTGCAAATATAAATTATTTTACCTAACTTGTTCGGTTTGACTACTGTATAAACGTCGAAGGCGGCTAGAGTTTGTCCTACTATTATAATATTATATGAATATTAGATAATATTTCGTTAGAACGATATGATTTTAAGTTATTTTGGTAAACTTGCTCAGTTTGTGCTCTACGCATAAGTCGATGGTCGCACTACTGCCTGTGATTATAGTATTCGTTCTGTCGATGTTTTCTTATTTTTTTGGATATATAAGACAATCGTTGTTCGCAAAATTTGCCACAACCTGGACTAATTATTTGTCTTAGCGTCATAGCTTCATATGTATCATAGTTCTTAGGGGTATCAAATATCGTTTTTATTTTTTTTATTGAATGATCAATATAGTTATTTATTCAACATCATTGATATAATTTATCTATTTCAATTAATATTGCTCTTACCTTCTTTTGTTTATGAAGGGTAAAACTACACCGAGAGTAGTTAGTAAAAGGCACTAGTCGTAATAAAAAGACAATATTTGACCATCAACAATACGGTTATGTCACGATATATAATTCAACAGTTATTGTATGTCTATCGTAGATTGCAACTCGCACTTTTTAACCTTAATTGTAGCTCTAATCTTTCATTTTATATAATTTGAACCCTTCACTACATGTATCCACTTTAGGATTAAGTGAAGCTGGCAGGCAGGGTTACAGGGTTATAGTCATTTTCGATATTAACAAAAATTTGAAAAAAAAGCATAGAAGTTTCCATCAAACTTTAAATTGGTCTAAACAGTGTTGTTTAGTAATAAAAGTCAGATTTGTGTCTTTTAGGATCAAATATACAATTGTTTGTGTGGATATGCTTACATTTCAGTACAGTATAACAGTACAAAATTTGATTTGACTATCTACATATCATACCTTTACCATACCAGAAAGCTCATAAAAACCCATGACTATTCATATTTATATAACTATTTATATGACTGCAGGCATAACGTGATCCTCATGAGACCTAGCTTTCTTTTAAGACCAAGTAGACATTGAAATATATTCACTTAAATTTATGTAGTATATGATTGTGTAGCGTTTAGCAAAGCTTTAAACACTAATATTCGCCAGCTAGAAATCGCACAAAGTCAGGCACATTAGGACGAATGACATTCTCAGGGACCTCAAGATTGATCCCATCAAAAAATACATAAAGGATGGAGCACTAAAAATATTTGCGAAAACTGACAGACTTACCAACACGGCGTTATCAATGGTTAAAGGCTCCTCGGGGAGGTATGCAGATCTGAGGTCAATTATTGCTTAATCTGATGAAGTGATAAACATTAATCCAGTCAAGGCGTAAAGAGAAGTTTTGAAAATACCTCGAGTTAAGAAAGAGTAAAAGTGCTCAAGTGCACTAGCTCAAAGAGCTTTAACCTAATAGTTAACTTAAAGTTCTTCGATTCTATTTTTTAACACAGACATATATAATACTATATGAATTTTCGTCTTCATTTCATTGAAAATATAGTTAAGTTACTATATAATTGAAATTTTTAGATTTAATTGGGCTATAATTTTTGAGCAATGAAAATAAACTTCGTTAACTTGATATAGTATTATAAGAATGGACAAAGAACATTGGGGACTATAAGATATATTCTGCTTAACTCGACATAGTAAGAAAATCATTTCAGTATGTAAATGTAAATCTCCGTGTAAAATAATAATACACATACAGTTATAAATATATAATGTCCATCTCAAGGCGCCTTTGGAAAATATATCTTCAAGCCTACAAAAAATAAAAACTCAATATATAATATCTACTATTTATTACTTTTTTCCATTAAATACAATTTTATTTTGATAAACCAATAATTTCAAATAATTTTATTAAATTTTATTTAAATTTACATTTTTTTATTTATTACTTTTTTTAATTACAATTACGAGCCAGTAGGTGAAATGAAAATAAATTAATTTTTCTACATTGTTTAACTACACAAATACGTCTCTACTTTTTTCTCATAATAGATTGTTATGTAACTTTGATTCCTCACTCTCTTCACCTTTCATTGACACAACACAGAAAAAAAAAAATTATTTATAAATTTGTATAAAAACATATGAGAAATACGAAAAATACTAAAATATTATGTAAATTTTTAATGTAATGATTAATTAATGGACAAATTATAACAAGAAATATAATCTACTAATAAAAAAGAATTAATTAAGTTGGAAATATTTGGAAAAAAAAATTAAAATTGTCTTGATATTCTTGAAAACAGATTATAGTAAAGATTAATTGATACTCATTAATTAAAAAAGTTTCTTGTTAAAAATATATTATTGAAGTATTATTATTTATTAAACAAATATTTTACAAAAAAAAATAGAAATTCTTAAATGATTTATTTATATCGGTTACCAATTCTTCTTCTTGCTGTCGTTAACTCTCACTGAAGCATAGGGGGAGGGGATTCCAAAAATTAAGGACTATTACCCAATAATTTTTATTGGTAAAATTAATATATATATCTGATAAATTAGTGAAGCATAGAGTTTCAAAAAGTAAGACCTATTACTACTAAATTATTGAGAGAATTTACCAATAAAATATCGGAATTTAAAATTCTTTTGGTATAATAATATATGTATAATATATGTATCTGATAAATTAAGAGAAAAAATTATTTTGATACAAATAAACTATCATTATCAAACTGTCAGATAATAAATAGTATTCATATGATACTGATCATTATCATCATCATTTTGGCATCCCAGTCCAGGATGGACCATTGCTTCCTCTACAATATGCCTCCATTCTTCCCTGCATTTCGCTTTCTTTCTGTGTTGTGTTATTCTCAT